CGAAACGTCTCGGGTCTGACATTCAACTCCAACAGCTTTGCACCATATCGAATTTTNNCTGCACTCGTCAGAAAGGGTTCCGTCGAGGCTCTTGAACATGTCCAAGGGCATACCGGTGTCTTTCCACCCAGCAATTGCACTGCCTTGCCCCCGTGGGCACATTGTTGCAAGTCACGTACGACCTGATCATTCAATCTAACCAAGATAGCCGTCCTCGACGGGTTGGCGGTGTTCTGTTCGCGGTCTGTCTTGTTTGGGGCTCCATGGAGCGACAGTGTCGATCCGGAGATCTGGGTCGAAGCCATGGTGGTGATCAACAGCAGCGAGGGGCTTCTGAAAGTGTCCAGGGCTTAATAACGATATCCAGGGTCAAACAATGATAGGAAGGGCTTGCTGCATCACATGTGCTACGAACACACAGCGCATCTGTGATATAGACTCGTTGTCAGCGTATTGTTGGCAAATGCAGCCAGTCAGGCCTCCCCCAGCGATATGACGTCCTTGGGCCGACAGCGAGCGTGTATCTTGTTGGACAATCAAGTGGTGAAAACTCACCTAGTGCCAGAACACGTCCTGCATCACGTCTGATAATACAGAAAAGTATCTACCAGAAGCGAATGTATCGATCAAACAAGAACAAGATGTAGGAGACAACGGAATGAAACGGCGAGACAAAGGATGGGGTGAGGCAGACTCGCAGAGGGCACAAAGCACAAGCCAGCCCAAGAGTGCAAGGCTAAAGTTGACCGGCCGGCCCGCAGGTGCAGTTCGTCTCCATGTATACTTTGCACACCACGTTGGCGGATACATATAGAAACCTTGCTGTTTTTGGCCAAACCCGCCCGTGACTAAATTCATACCTGTCTCTGTGGCCTTGCCTTGTCAGTCCATACTTGCAAGACTCGAAGAGACGTGCTGTCGCGGGCCCTTTTGGCAAGTAGCCGTCAAAGACCTTCCCAGGACAAAGGGAGCGGCGGCTGGCTGCAGCTTGCGTCGTGCAAGACGAATAATGTGCGCATCCAAGTCTGTGGCTCATACACTTTGGGAATTTGGCTAAGCAACAGTCGAGATCTGTTACGCAGCGCAATAATGCATCATTAGCCTCGATCCAGAAGTAGCCTCAGGGTGGGGTGCCCTTGTGGCTGTACAGTACTGTATAAGGGCATGAATTGTGCATAGTGCGGTCGTCGACCTTGATGGCTTCGAGCGACGAGACGCTTGTGGCCATCGAGGTCCCTTGCTTCCAAAATCTGTTGTCTATCGAGTGATTCATAACCAGGCCTGAAGAGTCGACAATCTTCACCGCTGTACTGATTGTTTGACATCCCCTCTCATGATGGCCGTGTCAATACCCTAGAATGGAAATACGGCTACGCTCCGGGAACGCGTCGCAGGAGTGGCGTAAGAGACCGTTGCTGACCTGAAATCCAACGTGTATATAAAAAGTCTCAACGACAACCAGGAGACCGCTCGCGATTGAGCACCGATGCCGTTCTGATTCTGCGATAAAGCACCTGGCTGATGTCTGATGTCTGATGAGGCATGGAATGAGCATCGCCAGCCTGTTGGTTCTGGATTCTCTTGGAAAGACCACGCAGCTGGACAGTGCCTCGAACAATCATCGTGTCTCGGACATTAATCGCCGGCAGGGGCACTGCTCGAGCGGCGCACAAGTGCAGCTGAACAGAATCGCTTGCATATTGCCGCGGGTGCACCTGCTTCCCGCATCACACACTTCGCGTGGCTTGACAGGGCGTCAACTCGACGGGAATCGGGTTAAATGCGTGTGAACTATTGCTGCTGAGCCAGAGTGTATGCATCAAGCATGTCTTGCTCAAAGCGCTCCTTTTCAAAGCGTTGCCGCATTGTGTTGTTTCTTCTTGCCATGCTACATACTAGACCACTCCCTCTCGATTTAAAAGATGAGTGGTCTGCTGAGTCTGTTGTTTCCGTGGACCTTTCGCCTTGAGTCCCGTGCATACCTACCTATGCAACCAAGGTCAAATTGATTGGCTGACTGCGTCTCAGAATTTGACAGCATTTGCTTAGCAGAGGGGTGATCAAATATAACTGTGAGTTGTAGGGCGTACGATGAAACCACATGATGCTACTCTGCACACCAATCTATGTGCAAGCGATTCGCTGCACATAAGCATGACTGCTCTCAATACAGACCATATCTACCTGTCGTTGCTCATCGTGTGCTTGCCATCTCGCCTCGTCGCCGATTGGGATTGTAGGGCGCCGTTGTCGCTTCCCATGCTTTCTGTGGCCTACCTCGCTGGTTACTTTGAAAGTTGTCCGGATGCAAGAAATAAAAGATCTAGGTAAACACATGCAGAAATCATGCCATGGTGCATATAGTACAAAACTCCGTAATGCCCTCTGGTATCTAGTCAATAATCTTTACACTGAAGAGTAGTAAAGGCTGGTCAATCGTAAGCTCCGAGTATGCCTGCCAAACGCCCATTGCCCACATCATGAAGATTCGACATTCAAGTGTCACGATCATTGTAATCAACTGCTTCCGGTACTTTCCTTGTGCAGTAACGACGGTACACCTCCTCCAGGAGTCATACCAGCATTTGAATTCGTGCCGCTGTCACCAACTGCCTTCTTCTTCTCCTTCTTGGCCCATCGTAAGCCGCACGCATTGCATAACGTTTTGGGACCCTTGGGCCCTTTGCGCCACTCGGGACTGTCCAGCGTTCCGCAGTCTGCGCAGACATATTCCTCCGCGACTTTGAGCTTCTTTTTCTTCTCCTTGGTCCCATCGCGGTCCCTATCAAGCAATATTGCGATACCGGCATCGCCTCTGATAAGCGCAGGCGATGTGTCTCCAGTGGAGATACCATGACTTCGCTCACCATCACGGTAACGCAATCCGGTGAGCATTTCAATTGTCTCGAGATGGTTTGAGCCCTCATAACGAGACATCTTGTCCGCTATGCTGTCAGGTTGTTGGGCCGACAGCGCGCTGTCCAAATTTTGACGTGTAAGAGCAGTGTTTGATATTGGAGGCTTGGCGGGTGGCGGCATGCCTTGGTAGTTTGGTGTTTTGCTGTTCTCAGTCGAGCCGTCGACACGGCCAGGCTCAGACGGATCACGCCTGGATTGTTCTTGCCATTGTCTTTCTTGAACTTGATTCTCCTCAACTTCCTCCCGTTTCAACTCTTCAATTCTCTTCTTCAAGCGCTCATTCTCAATCTTGTGCTCCAGAAAAGAGTCGAGCAAGGCCGCGTTCTTGGTCGGATATGGGCGAGCCATCATGAAGAAGCCTCGGCAAAGGCCCGACGCGCTCATGGCGCCCTGGCCCGAGCCACTCATATGGCCGTATGCTCCTTGGTCGGAGGAAATGTGTGGGTGGCCGTCGCATTCGAATATGATGTATGTGCCGTCCTCTCTCTTGAAGCGGTAAAAGAAGCGCAAGGGATTGCCCGACGCTATGGATTCGTTGAACTCGCGCATAAAGATGCCGCTGTCCTCGGGATGCACGAACTCGCCGATGAACTTGCCGACCAGGTATCGTGGTTCGTAGCCGGTCAGGGTTTTGGCCGAGGGCGAGACGTAGAGGATGCGACCATCGGGAGTGAGGATATGTAGAAAATCTCTGAGCTCTTCGATCACGCGCTGCGACCAGTTTCTGCGCTTGGTGAACTCGGTCAGGGTGTTGCCGCCGTTGGAAGGGGGACCCATGCCGAAGCCAGTGGGCAGAGGACCGGCACCGATGCCCGACATGTTGGACTGGGACTGGCCGTCGTCATGGTGGTGATGGGACTGCTGGGCGAAGGACATGGAGCTGAGGTTGTTGCCAAAGGCGCCGGGGTCGGCAAAGGGTACGTTGCTCAGCGAGACATCGAGGTTGGGGTCGTTCAGATCGAGGTCCATGGGCAGCATATTAATCTGATCGTGCAAATCAGACATGAGATTGGCGCTTGGGTCCAGCAGGTGGTCGGATGCGGACCCCACCCCGGCCATCTGATGCACAAAACCAACGATCAGTGGGCGCTCGCACGCGGCGGACTCGGTCTCCTGGGCACTTACGTTTTGGGGTAGCGAGCCATCGACCGACGACAGGTAGGACATGGCTATCCTGCCTTATCGAGTAGGCTTTGGGCCCAGTCGAGAGGTAGCTGTACAGAGACGGTGCCTGGTCCCGCGAGTCCACCAGACAAACTTGAAATTCCACGATGCAGGAAGACTTGCTCGATCCGCAGACGCTGTTTGCGACCGAAGTCTGACGTGCCCTGGCCAACGATTTGGTCCGCCGAAGCACATCGCTGATCTCCAACTCCGATTGCACAAATGCTTAGTCCCATCAGAACACTGTCGCCGAATCTACTGAAAGGCGCGAGAACTGCCTAGAGCGACATAGCTACTATCCAGTATGATTGTTTGCCCACGTCCCAAAAGTGTTGTGCAACTAATCTCTGATGCGTAGGTAGTAGCCCTGAACAGGCAAGGACATAAGTCTGGGCAGACCCTCCTCCGGCTTCCACGCTGAGGCGTTCCTTCCCTCTCACACGCGTCTGCCTGCCAACCCATAAAGAAAGTGTCAAAAGATTGGATGCGACGCTTTCTTTGATCCAACACCTACAGCTCCCGATACAAGTACTCATCTCCTGCTCACTTCTCTTCTCATCAACCATCCTCTGCTCGCACACAGCATTGCATACACCCGATCTTCCGGCCTCGGAGTAAACTCCGAGCTTGATCCACCATGTAAGTCCACCACGATCCGCATCCGTCAATACTCCCGAAGCTAATTCCTCCAACAGGTGTATGTCAATCGGCGTCTTCTTGAGGATCGGACCCACTCACTGACATTCCTCCTCCAGCCAAGATTGACAAACTCTCCATCTTAGGGTATGCATATCAGTTGACATGTGAATTGAACCAGAACATTCACTGATTGCCTGCTACAGANGTCCGTTCCTTCGACAATGGACGCAGTGAGACTATCCAGTTCTACGCGCCTCTCACCTTGATCGTGGGCCACAATGGCTCCGGAAAGACTGCAAGTCCTTGCTTCGAGACCACAAATCACGACTGTACTAACAACAACGCATAGACTATCATCGAGTGTCTCAAGTATGCTACGACTGGGGACCAACCACCCAACAGCAAGGGCGGTGCCTTCATTCATGATCCCAAGGTATGTCATTCAAGATCTCACACTACTTCAGCTAACGAGCATAGNCTTTGTGGCGAGAAAGAGGTCCTCGCCCAAGTCAAAATGTCGTTCCTGGCCACCACCGGAGCCAAAATGGTCTCCACTCGCAGTCTGCAGCTCACCGTCAAGAAGTTGACACGCTCGGTCAAATCGCTCGAAGGCCAACTTCTCATGATCAAAGAGGGCGAGCGCACATCAATCTCCTCTCGCGTTGCCGAACTTGATCAGCTCATGCCTCAATATCTTGGTGTAAGCAAGGCTATCTTGGACTCTGTCATCTTCTGTCATCAGGATGAGAGTTTGTGGCCACTCAGCGAGCCTAGCAAGCTCAAAGACCGATTTGATGCCATCTTCGAAGCCATGAAGTATACCAAGGCCATCGACAACATCAAGATCATGAAGAAGAAGCAGACCGAAGAGCTTGGAAAGTACAAAATCATCGAGCAACACGCCAAAGAAGACAAGGACAAGGGCGAGAAGGCCGAAAAACGATCCCACGAGCTGTACGAGGAGATTGAGACTTTACGACTCAAAGGCGAGGATATGGGCACGAAGATCACCGAGGCCAAGCAAAAGTACAACGCTGCCTGGGAAAAGATCAAGTTCCTGGGGGAGATTGTCGGCCAACTTTCCGGCAAACGCATCGAGCAACGTGCCAAGCAGGAAAGTGTTCAAAAGCTCAAACGCAACCTTCGTGAGATGACAGATTCGGACCAAGAACTTCAGGCTCTTCTACAAACATACGAAGAGCGAATCCAACAGCTGCACGACCAAGCCGACGAGGAGAAGCGCCGTTACCAAGAACTCAGTCGTGAGTTGATGAGCAACCGTGAGAAGCTCGGCAAGAAAGAGCGTGAAGTCGGCTCATTGGAATCTGACCGAATGAAGTACGACCGTCAGATTGAGAACAGAGCACAGCTGGTCAAGCAAACTGCTCGTAGGCACAGCCTTCGTGGTTACGACCTTGAGGTCGACGATGACAAGGCTCGAGAGTTGGTTGATCGCATCAGCCGTATGGCGAAAGAGCAGAACGCCACATTCGACCGCGCCAGACGCGAGACAGAGCAAGAGCTGCAACGCGCCCAAGGTGTCCTCAACCGCATCAACGAGCAAAAATCTGCATTGAACCAGAAGAAAGAAAGCGCCAAAGCCACTTATGCTGCAAACCAGCAACGCATCGGTGGATTCCAGACTGACCTGAACAAGATCGAGGTCGATGAGGGATCCAAGACTATGCTCGAGTCCTCCGTCGAAGATACTGAAAGCAAGTTGCAAGCGGCCAAGTCTGACTACGAAGTCAAGGATCGGGACAAGCAAGTCGACGAGATCGAAGCTGCTTCGCGCCGTCTGGATGATCAGAAGGAGAAACTGGATACGGAACTTTTCCAGGCTACCAAGCAGGCAGGAGACTCGGCACGTCTGGACTATCTGCGAAAGGAGATCAAGGATCGCCAGCGTAGTCTCGATACCATGACCAAAACTCATGGAGCCATGATTGACAGCATTGTCGGTGGTGGTTGGCAGGCCACGTCCTTGGATGGCGACTTCCAAAGTGCTCTTAGCAGCAGCAACAAATCGGTAGCAGAAGCTGAACGTCAGCGAGACGGCCAGGCTCGCGAGCTTGAGCAGCTGGAGTATCGTCTCAAGCAAACAAAGACCGACCTCAGTGCACGAAGACGGGAACTGGATGCCAGCCACAAGACAATTCAGAATGTCATCGAAACAGATCCCTCGGAGTATCAGAGGGTTCTTGAGGAGACCGAGACGGAGCGTGATGATCGCAAGAGTTCAAGCGAGTATGCTGGCCACCTCAAGAAATACTACGAGAGTGCAGTGAGAGCTGCCCGGGAGAACAAATGTTGCCTCATGTGCCGCCGCGGCTATGAAAAAGATCGTCAAGGACTCGAGAAGTTGATCAACCTCCTGGGAATGGAAATCAACAAAGCTGAGGCTGGCCGCGCAGTTGAGGAGCTTCGAGACACCGAGACATATCTGCAAGAAGTCAGGGCTATCAGCTCGACTTACGACAACTGGGATCGTCTCAAGAGCAAGGACATTCCTAACCTCGAACAGGAAGAGGAACGCTTGAAGGTCCGTGTGGCTTCCCTCATCGATGAAGTCGAGGAAGAAGATCGCGTCGTCAGCGAGCGCAAATCAGCCAGGCAGGAAGTTGAGGGTCTTTCCAAAACCATACAGAACATTGTCAAATATGCTCAAGAAGTTGTCAACAACGAGATGCAGATTGAAGAGCTGACTGCCAAACAAAAAAGTCAGGGTCTTTCTCGTGGCCTTGAGATTATCCAAGACGATCTCAAGACGACTAACGAGCAGTCTCGCAATGCCAAAGTCTCATTGACTAAGATCATGGGTGAGCGCGACGGTGCTCGCGGTATCATCAATACGCTTGAGCTCGAGCTTCGTGACGTAAAGTCAAAGCTCAATGATGCTGTCCACAATCTCAGGGAAAAGTCATCTCTCGAGAAACAAATCGACGAGCTCAAGACACAGAACAATGAGCTCATTGATTCTCAACGATCCTTTGAGCAGGAGCTTACTGGTCTGGTTCCGAAGATGTCACAAGCTCAGTCAAAGTACGATGACATCGCCCGTCGTGGCACGGAGAAAGACAAGCAGCTTCGCGAAGAAACAACCGCCATCAACGACAGCGTGAACAAGCTGCAAATGGTCGAGCAAGAGATCAGTGGCTACATCAAGAGAAATGGTCCAGCCGAACTGGCACAAGCCAAGAGCGATATCGAGGACATGAAACAAGAAATCGAACGTTTGGAGAAGGACATGCAATCCATCACCAAACAGGTCAAGGAGTTCGAAAACAACCTCCAGAATGTCGAGGAGACGAAGCGTCAAATTGCAGACAATCAAGAGTACCGTCGAGATCGTGCTGCTGTGGACGCAATAGGTACCGAGATANNAAGGAGCTTGAGACACACAACGCCGAAGAGGAAAAAACTACTCACGAACGTGAAGGCAATCGCTGGGAGATGACACGCAACAAGCTTACAGCAGAGCAAGCCTCGATCATGGGCCAGCTGAAGAGCAAAGACGACCAGCTTCAACAACTTCTTCAGGACTGGGAGCAGGATTACAAGGACGCTGCATACAAATACAAGGAAGCACACGTCAAGGTTGAGACGACAAAANGCCGCTGTCGAAGATCTCGGTCGTTATGGTGGTGCACTCGACAAGGCCATCATGAAATACCACGCTCTAAAGATGGAGGAAATCAACCGCATCATTGAGGAGCTTTGGAAGAAGACGTATCGCGGCACTGACGTCGACTCGATTCTGATCCGCTCCGACAATGACAACATGAAGGGCAACAAGAGCTACAACTACCGCGTCGTCATGTGCAAACAGGATGCCGAGATGGACATGCGTGGTCGTTGCTCCGCAGGTCAAAAAGTACTTGCATCCATCATCATCCGCCTGGCTCTGGCAGAGTGTTTCGGAGTGAACTGCGGATTGATCGCTCTGGACGAACCTACGACCAATCTTGACCGTGACAACATTCGCTCGCTGGCCGAATCGTTGTCGGAGATCATCCGCATCAGAAGACAACAATCAAACTTCCAGTTGATCGTCATCACTCACGACGAGGAATTCCTGAGGTACATGAACTGCGCAGACTACACAGACTACTACTACCGTGTCAGCCGCAACGACAGACAAAAGAGCATAATTGTGCGCCAGAATATCGCAGACGTAAGTGTTTGATGCATGTAATGATGTTGAAGCAACTCTGACCATTGAACAGGTTCTCTAAGCGGCAAGGATGTCTCGGTGGTAGAGGTCAGTTGTAAGGGGGATGAATAGCAAGAGCATGAGATGTGATGAGGGACGCGAATATTGAAGGGACAGCATCAGCGGTCGAGATGGCTTTGCAAATGCTTCATTGCTGGAGATGGCACAAAGGCTGCATAGAGATTATACAGAAAGCATTACTTATGAACATCAAAGTGTTTTGTTTCAAATTGAATGACGCGCTCAGTCGCGTCCAGTGGACGCGAGTGTGGAGTCTGTCGCGACTCGCGAGCCCCGGCAACGGCTCATTGTTTACATGGAATTCCTTGTGCATTGTTGAATATTGGTCGGTGGATGATAACATTATACAGGCTGCTTGACTTTTCTTGACCCAGAAGCACATCTCACTTCATCCTTCTCCATCACAACCTCCCCTCTCGCATCTCTACTCTTGCGTCCTCACCGCTCCGCTCTCGCCGCCGTTTCTCCACATCAGAGTCGTCGAGTCCCTCTCGCCAACACAGTCAACATGGCCGCCGTCGCTGCAGCTTCAAACGCCCCCACCAGCCCGTCCAAGTCAAAGGACAATGGCAATGTCATCAAGCGGTTTGTCACTCCCGCCGAGTCTTCTCCCACCAGTTGACTGACACCCCACGCNAGACTGCAAGGCGAGCTCATGACACTAATGACATCGCCCACGCCCGGCGTCAGCGCCTTTCCGCATAACGGCGACCTCACTGTCTGGGACGGCACCATCGTCGGTCCCGCCGATACTCCCTACTCCGGGCTCACGCTCAAGCTGCGCTTCAACTTCCCTGCCCGCTACCCATATGTGCCTCCGGAGGTCCGCTTCACCACTCCCATCTACCACCCCAATGTCGACATGAAGGGTCGCATCTGTCTGGACATTCTCAAAGACAAGTGGAGCGCTGTCCTGAACGTCGGTTCCGTGCTCCTGTCTCTGCAGAGCTTGCTCGGCGAGCCCAACAAGTACGTCTTCTCCATCTCCAAGTCTCCAACACCCGCTGACTCCTCTTACAGCTCCTCGCCTCTCAACGGTCAAGCTGCCGAGCTCTGGGATACCAACATGGAAGAGTTCAAGCGCAACGTCCTTGCCCGTCACCAGGACCTTACCGATGAAGAGATGGAGTAGTCTGTTGACACTTCCCTCTCATGGCTCCATTTTCGTATTTTCGCTCTCCGTTTCCTTTCAGCGATGCATCACTCTGGCGTTTTGGTTCTCTGCGTCTGTTTTCTGCCCCCAGTCTTTCCTGATCTCCTCGACCTGTACTTCGTTCGACCATCGCTATCCCTTGCGGTGTACCAGTCTATCACCTGCATATCACAACTTTCATCCGCATCGTTCTCGGAGGCATCGTGGCGTGACAGGACACAGAAGAGGCCAGTCTCTATCTTACTGTCGCTTGAATAGCGAAAGAGCAACGTCTCGAAAATTTGCGTTCCAGCTTCTATTCCATGTCGTCTTCCTAGAGTCCCCATCTCAACTCCTAGATTCCTAAGCAAACATTTACTCCAGTCCTTGAGCATGCGCGCATTTGTTGCTTTTGTGACCACATCATGTCTACACCGCCTGTTTTCCGTCTACACATCTTAGTCGCCAGCCCTTCCTTAATGGCCTCTAGGGCTTTTCGCTCTTTTGCTCCTCGTCCTACCACTTTCCGCCAACCTTCTCACCTCTTTGTTACGCATGCCTCCATTCAGAATTGTGTCTGTGTAGATAAACGATTTGGTCCCACCAGGATAAATTCCTCGCCGCACCTTGTGTCTACGCGAAAAGTAGACGCAACTGATGTAGAAGCCGTGAATATGAGAAGGCAACACTCCGCAGACAAAGAGAATGCTGTTGACCAAGCAATCAGTGCTGAAGTTGTCGAGGAGTCCCACGGCGAGAGGTGGGAAGAAGATGTTGAGGAGGGTGATGCTGAGTCGGTAGCACAGTGTTCTAAGCATTGCTTTTGACTTGTGGTTGTGACTGTGGTGTGACTAGGTTGATCGTTGTCAGAACTGGACTGAAACAGATGCGATTAGTAAACCATCTTTGTTCTAGAATCGTCACTTGAGATGAGCTGAATCTTTTACAAGTATACTCCCGGTCATCTCAAATGGTGACGTTGACAGTCCGATCTCTAGATGAGCACTACTTTACTCTGACAGGCTACATAAAGAGTGTATTCACTTACCACAGTCTTCTTCGAAGTTTCAAGTCATTCAAGGTCTCGAGGAGCAAGTACATCAACTCATGTTCGCATGATACGGACCTGCTAATCTGTGTGTGATAAAACTTGCAGAAGAGGAGAAAGACGACAGATCGTGGCAATACATATTTCAACCACCATCGATACCTGTTTACCGCATGTTCTTATGTAGATACGCCTTTTAATATATTTCATAGGTTAACAGACGACCGATGGCCAGCATGTGCAGGAATAGAACCCGTAGGATGACCAAAATCCTCGAAGACGTCATTGTGCAGCAATGGGGTTCTGTTGATGAACCACCTCTCTAACCTGTTGCTTCTACCACGAAACGGTCTGAATATAGACGAAAACATCTACATATCTGGCGGCTGAGAGTTCTAACCTTGCGAGCTTAGTGTGAGACAATCAAGATGGTCGTCAGACAAGCTTAGGGAGAGGTCCTTCATGCAGCGGCTCATATGTAATGCGTGCATGATGATGATCACCAAACAATAACTGCCGAGAGTGCTTTGGACTTGTAAAGACCATTTGGTGCCCACAAGAAGACTCTGGAGTCTCTAAACATACCACAAACCATATATTCGTCCATCATGCCAGAAGACAAGAGCAAGAATCCCGACGACCCATATCACACGGAGCAGCCTCCGCTTAGCACATACCCAAACGATGCTATCCGCAACAATGCCAAAGGAAATGACCTAGACAAGGAAGTCATTGAGCGAATGAAGATTCGTGAGCTTTGTGAGGGCTGGGGAGTCTACAGAGATGCAGCAGAGTACATCCTCCCACTCCCAAATCACATCCGTATATAATGCTCACTTGATGACCGCAGATGGGAAAACTATCGCTCAATGTTCTTCGATGACGCCTACATCGCCACTAGCTGGAAACAAGGCAACATTGACGAGTTCATCGAAGCCTCCAAAGCTGGATTCGAAAAAGGCTCCAAGTTCATGTATATCTTACACCGCATCATCGGGTCTCAAGTCGACATGAACCCTGACCTTACCCGCGCAGTCTGCAAGATGAAGATTACAATCACTTGCCGCTTCACCTTCGACGACATTGAGATGGACAATGATGCCGACTGCCGCTTCTTCTTCTTTGTCGAGAAGAGAGGAAACAGATGGGTTGTCGTGTTCTACACACTGCTGTTCGACAAGGACAAGTTTGCGCCAGTGAATCCGGAGAGAATCTACAGTATCCCCGAGGATGAGGTCAAGCAGTACCCGAGTGGGTACAAGTACCTGGCTTGGGCGGAGAACAAGATCAGTCAGCCGCCCAAGATGAATTTGAATGCACATGGTCCTGAGAAGGATGTCTTGTATGGCAAGATGAAGGCTTGGCTGGAAAATGAGTCTATCAGACCTGACTTGACTGGTGAAGATGACCCTAATTGGAAGCCTTGATCGAAAGTTGTTCTACTTCATAGATAATCTCAATAGGTCCTACTTGAAATCGAGGGTCCACTGGATGAAATCTGTATCTCTTTTCAAGTATTCCTCCGCTCCATTACCCCCTTAATCATATCTCATCAGATAGGCGTTCTCTGTTCTTCGCAGACGCCTGAGACTGTTGCAGTAGTCAATAGAGACGCACGATGCTTTCCAGGAGGAAGCTATGTCTCGCGAAAGGAGGTTCTCCATGGTCACGTATTTGAGCAGAAAGTGATTATCTACTATTACAGGCAACAATACCACTACACATCTCCTTGAGAAAGGGTCAACCATAGGAGTCTGCAGCACATGGATAAGACATAACGCGCGTTCTGAACCCTCGGCTCCCATGCAATCTTGACTAGGCACAACAAAACAACACGATAGAGAACACGCTAGAAAAAGTCCTCTTCAAGTCCCAGTCCAAGACTAGAAACCCAATGAGAACACAGGAAAAACAAAGGAAATAGAACAACGCGAAACAACAGCAAAGCAGAAAACAAAAACAAAACAATAACGCCAGAAACCCAAAGAAATCTAGGAGAACAAAGGAAATCTAGAAACACAACAGATCTAAGAACAAGAGAAATCTAGCAACAGAAAAACAGAACAGAACAAAACAGCAAAAACAAAACAGAAAACAACGCATAGTGGCCGACCAAAGTCTTAAACATACCACTCAGAACAGCAAGAAACGGAAACAAAAGGCAAAAGCAAAAGCAAAAAAAAAAACAAAACGCTGATAACAATTGGGCCTCAAACCCGAGACCTCCGTTTTTGCCTTCACGGTTAGCACCTTTTCAACTTTTTTGGTTGTGAAACAGTGCCCTGAGACTGCCCGCCAGCAGCCTACTCAGCACCGCAACACTTTGATCTTTCTGTGGAAGGAAGGGGGATGATGACGATACGGGACAGAAGAGAGAGCTCAACTGTCTTCGAGGAAGGAAGGGTGACGTGAGAGGAATGAGGAGTGAAGAGGAGAAAAAACAAAGTGGCTACCCTCACCGATGACTGGATCGGCCAAGTCCATCTGCTCGAGAGCAGCGACAAGGTCGTCCTCATGGTTAGCAAATGAATGTGGAGGGGAAGTGAAAGTGAGGTTAGCATGAACGATGGGACTAACCTCGACGTACGATAGCTCCTCGAGAGCAGCCATCGAAACGTCTTCTTCCAGCTCGAGATCGGTGTTGGTAGGGTCGACGAAATGGGCGTATGCGGAGGAAGCAAGCGAGTGGTGGATGACAGTGTCGTCGTTGAGGAAGACACTGTAGTCGTCGTCGGTGGCTTCGTTGTTGAAAACGCCGTCACTGAAGTCGGCGAGGATCTGAGCGAGGGCGGTGTTGCTGTAAGTGAAGGACGAAAGCGAAGGATCGATGGAACTAGAATCACGACTGCGCACCACCATGTCAGCCTTATCAAAGATAGTAATGTCAGACTCATCGTCAGATTCACATAGCAGATCATCATCCCAGTCGGACTCCTAGTCCTCACGGGAAGGTTCTGCAATCTGTACTTGTGTCAGCTTGCTGTCATCAAAAGAAAAGGAACCATGTCTGCAGGTGTAACGAAGGTCTGCATAATAGTCTTCACGAAGACGACCAAGTTCCTCCTCGATGGCGGGAACCAGCTTGCTCAGGCGTACACGATCGGCGGGAGTGAGGGCGGAAGAACGAGGGGCGGTAACGATAGGAACGGCGGGACGAGGAGCGGCGGTAATGGCGGAACGAACGACAGGACGAGGGGGAGCGGTAACGACAGGGCGGCGCGGAACGGTGGCGACGGCAGGCTTGAGGGCGGCCTTCTGGCGAGTAGCGAAGGTGGTCTGGGTGGCGGCAGACGGAAGGACGGACGAGGAAGGGCGAGGAAGAGCCTTTGCAGGGCGCGAGACCTGCTTGGACAATTTAGTAGAGACGGGAACGACAGCGCGGGTGGCGGCCCTTGCTGAAGTGTGTGATGATGAGGCGACAGTTGGGAGCATGAAGTTTGGCAGTGAGGAAGGCATGATGATGAAGATGGATGGAGATGTGATGTGAATTGGATGTTATCTAAAAACCCTTGTGATTTGCTAAGCTAATCTGGAGTGAGATGAAGGAAAGATGGAGCGAAAGGAGGAAAGAAATCATATATATACTCTGGAGATTATGTCAGCAGCGCGATGGTCAGTGCAAGTAGGCAGCAGTTGTCGCGATGGGGGCGTGATTAAGAGGTGTAGTATGTGAGAGGGGTCCGATGGGAGGGGGCGTGATGGAAGCGGAGTTGGCTAAGAGGTGAGTAAGATGGGTGAGAAGAAGGACGAGGGTGAACATAGGGAAGACGAGAGAAAGAAGAGGAAGGTGAGAAATAGGGAGGTGATCAGGAATCGGGATAGTAGTCAATGGTATAGAGGCGTGAGCTCTGCCCAGGGGTGTAGCAAAGAGGTTCCTTCCGAAGTCATGGTGCAATAGCATGTTGGTCTTTCTGATGGAGTCTTATACAACTGCGGGCGTTAATGGCTGTATACACCCCGTCGTTGATGGTTGGAATGGTAGAAAGATTTACAAAAGGCTAAGCATGGAACCATGAATGCTGCCAACTCTTGGTACAGTTTCTTGTTGCAGACAGAGTCTTCTCCAAGACTCAACTACTCGGCGATATCACAGTCCCTTGTTGAGAGTGGTATAACTCCAATGCTGAGGCCAACATGCCACAGCTATGTCGAGGTAACGAACGAGTCCCAGGGTAATAGATCGAGTGTAAGCTACAGCGATAGCAGGAAACAAACAGGTGACCAGTGTTGAGGAGAAAGCTGCATCGATCACACAACGAGTTCGGTTGTGCTTATGGCTCTAAGAGATCCTGATACCCAAAATCCAGAGAGACTTCGATAGACGTAGACTGCAAGGTATATCTGTGTCGGCGAATGAACGATAGGAGTTGATTCGATATGTACAACGGCCATTGACGTGCAAAACATGCCGTGCAGACTAGGTGATTGTGAGAGGACCCTGATGATAGAAGAAATGGAATCAGCGACTGAGCCAATCTTGACAGGGAAATGGCGGGTCATTTCTTCCTGATGGCATCTGCTCTGCCGATTGCGAACCCATTGGAAGCTCCATTTTACCAAGGCGTCTGAATACGAAGAGAACTCCCCAGCTATGGTATCGAGATACGTCAAACCAATTCGCTAAGCAAGAAAAAGAAATGTTAGTGTTTCGCCGTGGGTGGAACTTGACCATTTGCGTTGTGTTGAACAAGCGGAGCGTGTTGCGAGTGTTCCGAGCGGTGCGAGAATTACGAGAAGAGAGCGCGAGAGGTGTAACTGGAAATGGCTAGTGGATTTGTTGTGCGATAAGTCGGCGATGGATAAATCACAATTCTAGGGCAGGAGACGACGTCGGTTGAGATCTACAGGTTATGGTTTAAGGTTTGGAGGTCGGCGGGTGTGGCGCTTGTGCAGCGCGGGTCGTGGTTGGCATGTGGGGAAATTTTGTGACTGGGGCAAGGGAGAATTAAACACTCGTCTCGTCGCTCATGTTCAAGACGAGACTGCTACGGCCAGCAGCACTGCGCATTTCGCCCTTCTCTCCCACATATACACCAAGGATGAGCCAGTCGACCAAGGCACCAAAGCTCCATGGGCGGGCGTTCTACGAGAGCATTGGCTGCCCCAAGCTGATCCTGGCGCCCATGGTCGAGCAGAGCGAGTTTGTACGTCAAGACTGTCCACAACTATGTACAGAGACAGCGTGCTGACGAAACAGACAGGCATGGCGCTTGTTGACGCGCTCGTTCCTCCCGGCCGAGCAGAACAAGCAACTGCTTGCCTACACGCCCATGTTCCACGCCCGCCTGTTCCATGAGAACGCCAAATACCGCGAAACCCACTTCCAGCCGCTAAAGGCCTCGATGCCCGAGTCGCCCGTCCCCTTCGATCAGTCCCACTTCGAACAAGACGCCCTCCATCTCGACGGCAACCCCCAGACTGACCGCCCTCTGTTCGTCCAGTTCTGCGCCAATGACCCCGCCGACCTGCTCGCTGCTGCAAAACATGTCCAACCCTTCTGCGATGCCGTCGACCTCAATCTCGGCTGTCCCCAGGGCATCGCTCGCAAGGGCCACTATGGCTCTTTCCTGCAGGAAGACTGGGACCTGATCTACAAGCTCATCAACAACCTCCACGTCAATCTCGACATCCCTGTCACGGCAAAGATGCGCATCCTCGAGACTCGCGAAAAGACTCTGGAATACGCGAAAATGATTCTGTCCGCTGGAGCCAGCATCATCACCGTCCATGGCCGTCAGCGCCACCAGAAAGGCCACAATACGGGCTTGGCGGACTGGTCTGTCGTGCGCTACCTGAGGGACAACCTCCCGAAAGAGACTGTCATNTTTGCCAACGGAAACATCTTGCGCCACGACGACATACCCGCTTGCCTCGAGGCTACCGGCGCCGACGGTGTCATGAGCGCCGAGGGAAACCTCTACGACCCAGCCGTCTTTGCTCACCCTCCGCCCGTGGGTCAAGAAGGACAAGAATACTGGAGAGGAAAAGACGGCAGAGGTGGCTACCGCATGGATGCCGTACTAAGGCGCTACATGGATATTATTCACAGATACGTGCTCGGCCAGGAGCCGCCAACAAGGAAACCTTTGTTCATGCCAGGCCAAAACGATGCGCCAATCGACACAGCTACCATCATGTCAACTACCGAAAACAATTCCGCCCAGAAGCGACCCGCTGAGGATGAGACTCTAGATACCGAGGCAGGGGACGAGACAAATGGCCAACCTCCGACCAAGAAGCAAAAGCCGAACAAGGGCGAGAGTCGCAAGAAGAATGAGAAATGCTCGAACCCTAATCTTACTCCAATGCAGGCTCACCTCTTCCATATGCTCCGGCCGTTGGTTTCCAAGCACACCAATGTACGAGACGCTCTCGCTCGTTGCCGTGCTGGTGACATTGCGGCGTACGAGAATGTTCTGGCCATGGTCGAGGCCGCCGTCACGGAAGGTCTGCTCGAGTATGAGAGTGCCCCGTCTGAAGAACCTGAAACGGAACCACAGACCAGACCCGAAGTGGATGCAACAAAGGACGAGAGTTCGTTGGCGGCTGTTGCGTGGTGTAAAAGACCGTGGTTCATTTGCCAGCCATATGTACGACCTCTGCCAAAGGAGGCTATCGAGAAGGGGTCGATGCAACTTACTAAGAAGGAGAAGGAACGGTTAGAGCGCGAGAAAGAAGAAAACAAGCAAGTCGGCCTGGTGCCAGAAGGTAGGGTTGAAGAGCAGGAGAGCAATGGCGAAAAGGTAGAAGTGCCAAAAGAGGGCATGGTTTGTGGATAATATTGCATAGATGTTGAGAGTCACATACAAGCTAGATTGACATGATAGAAAAGTCGATATACACGTCACCTAGACTGTTTACTGTTCTTGAGTGCTGGTGACTTGAGTGAGAAAGAAACACACGCTTGGCGAATCACGTCATGTCTCATCTCCATTCGCAGACAAATGTCGAGATGGACGTCTAGCAAAAGCATTCTTCACACGCCACTTCCAAAGCAATGTTTTGGCCCTACCCATAGGACAGTGACTCGAACGGCTCCCGGCCATGTCAACTCCAAGCAAGAAATCAAAAGCCGCCAAACGCGAGCCGGCAGAGGACAAGACTGTCCACGCCCTGGAAGAANNAAGCCCATCCGGAATCACCATTGTCGCATCAGCAGGAGACGTTGTACTGCTTGTCCAACGAGACACTCCCACACAAGAGACATGTAGATACCGTGTCGACTCGGGCAGGCTGAGAGAAGCCTCGACCTACTTTAGTCGACTCTTGTCGGGTGATTACAAGGAAGGCACCCTCGTGGCCCTCGCCCACGAACACCTCCAGACCAAATACACAACCCTGGACGCATCCGTACCTACTGATGAGCTCCCCGAAGTCAAGATTGTAGACGTCGGTCGCATATCGCCCTCGGTCAAGACCATCAAACCGCTCATGGCCGACTTTCTGTGCGCCTTGCACGCTCGCGACTTGATCACCGTCACGCCGCCTCTGGCAAACGTCGCCAATCTCTGCATCGTCGCCGATCGCTTTGACTGTCTTGACCCATGGCGTGCCTACTGCAAGAGTCATAAGATTATTGCCGCGCTGGACGCCAAATCCAACACCAAACTTGCTGCCACATGGACAGAAGAGCGCACGCGCCAACGCTTACTGGTCGGTAGCTTTTTGGAGAATGCGAGCTGGGTATATCAAGCCTCCTTGCGTCTGATACACCGTGGCTGGGTTGGCCGCGAACCCGAAGAAGACGCTGCTCTGTGGTGGGATCTCCCCATGGGCATCGAAGACGAATTGCTCTTCCGCAGGGATTGCATACTTCAGACCACTCAGTCAATACAGACACACTTCCTCACTTTGTACACATCTCGCGACCGCCAGTGTAAGCTCGGCTACACTAGCAGTGCCGAATGCGACATGTTCCAGCTAGGCCAGACGATCAAGTTCTTCAAACGCATCAACACTCTCTCGTTTCAAGGCACCATTTTCGCAACCGCGGATGCCCCCGAGCCCTATGACGGTGACATCTTGGACCTAGTCGACAGCTTCAAACAAGCCCCCGAGTATCAGGTAGACACCAATCATCATCATTGTGGCATCCGCACACGCATCATGCCTCTGCTAGATTTCTTGGTGCTTGCTTTGGGCGAGGTCGGTATATGTTGGTGGTGCTGGCAAGACTGTCGACACGAGTATGCCTGGTCCAAAGTCAAGAGACCGCTCATCTGGAAGAAAGATTCTGCTGGCGCGAGCATGTATCAACACTACAAGAACCGGCAGGCTCAAAGTCATTTGTTCAAGCATCTCGATACGAGAGATCTTTTTATGGCTAATGAAAGGCTATGGACGGGGTGAGTGTGATTTGACTGTCCTTGTACATAGGTTTACATATGTGTCAGCACTGCCTTCGCCACTACAAGAATTAAAGCCATCCATTTTACAGCCTATTAAATCACCTGCGAGGGTCCACGGTGTTTTCCAAAGCGTGACACGGTACCATTGGGCAATTTTGTCCAAAGCTCTCGGACCTACAACCTACGCATCCGGTCATGCAACCTCATTTCAAGAACACAAGAGCGTGCGAGTAAAGGGTCAAGTCTTTCTGCCGAAACTTGAGAGATGTGTTGTTATTGATCAACAAGCGGACTAAGGCAGTGGAGCCTCCGTATACAGATCTCCCAGCATCTCACGGCTCACCTTGCTGATCGATCAAGTCTCGTGCCGTGTGAAGCGGGCCGCCTCCAGAGGTGACTGTGAGGTAGGCTTGAGAGTATTAAGAAAAGACGAAAGCGGGAAATACTGGAAAATACTGGACGACTACAGAGAGCCTCTCTACAACTTTTTTGTATCTGCATCGCAATATGTGCCTGTATTTCTTCAAACATGATATCCAATTCGAAGCTTCCAGTCTGTCCTCCCTAGTTTTCGGGGACTCTGTCGGTGGATGGTTTACCTGGTGGCTTTTGTTGCAGAAGCAGAGCCAATTCTCTCTTCGTATGCTTTCCAAGCCCTGATTCTGTATTCCTCGGCCTTTGCTCTCTTATCTTGAGCACCGTAGACACCACGACCAACAATGATAATGTCGGTACCGGCCTCGCCAATGACCTTCTCTGGTGTGTTATATTGTTGGCCGAGGCCGTCTCCGGTGGCTCCGATTTGCACGCCAGGAGTCATGGTGATGAAGTTGTCACCAGGCATTTCGTTGAGCGAGCGTTGTGCAATGAAACCCATGACAAATTCCGGGTTCTTGCGTGCTTCTACTACACATTGCTCTGTGTATGCGCCAGTCATCAAGTTGCCCGCGCTGCTCATCTCTGCAAGAATAAGCAAGCTTCGAAGGAGAGGAGGTTCGCCGAGACGGGCCAAGGCGGAGGATTCCTGACCAGCCGAGCCTGCACTGATGGCCGAGATGGAATCGGAAGGACCACTGAGGTGGTTTGGTGTGGGTTGAGGTGAGATGCTTTCTGTCTTTGTGCTGATAGTGGTCGAAACAGAGACGACACTGGGCTTGCGACCAGTGGGGTCGTTGTATGTGGAAAGCTGATTTGTGTCATCGTCGCTGGAGAGTCTGTCAAGGTCATCGGAATCTTCGTGATGAGACAGTGCGGGCGAGTCAACCTCATCGCTGTCGTCCATGTACGACGGAACTGGGGAGGCCGAGATGGAGGTGGTCACGGCGGTGTTGAGAGAGCTGACGGCATCGTGGGCAGCTTGTGAGAGGGCGGTGATGATGGCGGGGCCGGGGAAGATGTGGGCATTGATGATGTTGGCCCAGCGTACGATTTGCAGGGGGCCAGCGGTGAACTGCTTCTGTACCGTGCCTGGGAGCAGGTGTCAGTGGCTGGTGATAGCAAGATGAAAGTGGAGCATAGTCATACTTCCAATATCGCCAAACTTGCGGTCCTCAAAGACGAGGAAGTGCTTCTTGGCAGCAATCTCTTTCAAGCCTTGGATAGTGCGAGGGCCAAAGTCGTTGATGATGTCTGCGTGCGTCTTGAGCATGCATATTGAGTCGCCGACCTCTTCGGCGAGCTGCAAGAGCTCTCTGGTGGTGGATACATCGGCCGAGACGCAGAGGTTCGTCTGCTTTGCGGCAATCAGCCGCAAGAGATAAGAGGCCACGGGCGATGTCTTGGGCAGCGAGGCGCGCTCTTGGTATGACTGGGTGATGGTTGCGTGACGGGACATTTTGAGCGTCGAAAAGTTGGGGGAGAGGCTCGGTGAGAGTGGAGCGAAGCAGGGCGGAAGATGTCCAATGTCGGGTGGTCAAGCGGCTGTCAAGTGGCAGGTATGGGAGAACCAAGGTGAAACAATGCTTGCACACAGGAGTACCAGATTGGAAGTTGCAAGGTGAAGCAAAATGTCAAATGACGAGCGAGGGACAGCAGCCCAGACCGCTGAGACCAGTCGAGATTTTGCGCCGAGCAAGTCAAAGCGAGACACACAAGCACAAGTCAACAGGGCACGACTCGGGGGCAGGCACGCTGAGGAAGCTTCTGACAGTTGGGGAGAGGAAGGAGCGAGCGACTCACATGTCGGCTCGTCTTTATGCTTCTATTTGACAAGCAGGAGCAGGAGCCAGATTCGCTCTTCCGACTCCTGCCACCATCCCACCACCTGGCAACTGGCAGCTGGCAGCTGCTCCAAAGCCTCTGAAAGTGGGGTACACCCCGACGGCTTTCGGATGCTGGTCTTGAAACCTGCCGCTGCTGCATCCAGGGCCGCAGGTGTCCACCAAAGCACAAGATTCTGCTTGACCACAGTCACACGCCAATGCAGGGACTAGGCTGTTGACAGCTGGTGCTCTGCGTCGACTGTCCGGCATCGCCGTTCTCCTTCCACCAAACTCGGCGCCCGCGTCCATCTACACAATTGTCGGCGCCTCCCTTGACGTGACTCTCCACTGCTTGTCCCTCGTCCGAGTCTTGCAAGTTGCGGCGTACCCACAGCTCAAGCCAAGCCGTGTACAGTGTACATCCTTCCCAGGCCCACAACAGTGGACCGCACCTCCTCGATCTGCGAGACGTGCATAACTTGCTCGCCAATTCCTGCCAGACGCCGCTGTTGACCTTCTTGCTCTTTCTCCACAGCTTTTCTGTCGGTCAATCCTGTCTTTGTGCATCCTTTTGTCGTCCTGAATCACCAATACATGGGCGTCTTGTTGGACTTGGGCTCTACTCTGCATATCGTACCAAGGGCTCCAGTGTCTGTTCGGGGCTCACAACGCGGAAACTCATCCTTCCGCGGATCATTTTGCATGTGCTCACCAACACCTTGAGTTCGCTTTGTTGTTCAAACATCGAATAGCTGCAGATCTGCAACAATAGTCGCATTTGTTTGGGCCAGCTTGCCAACGGCTGGCCTTTTGACCGACCAACGTCCTTGTACTGATGATTCTCTGTCCAGCTGCTGACACGTACATAGTCGGATCATATGCATGCTACGCAAATTGTGTCTAATCCCATCGAGCAAGCTCGTTCGTCTAGTCATAGAGGAAGGATTACGAAGTTTCAGCATGGTTTTCAACATGGAGGAACCCCGACATGCAACATGCCTTGTGCCTCGGGAAGTCCTAATAAATGCTCTGTTATCATTGAGGGTCTTGTCGAAAGACACATTTTTGAGAAACATGATCTTGTTTGTCTCATCACAGCACCCGATGGGCGGTGTTCTCAGGTAGTGGACGTAGTCATGGTTTCGCAGGTGCTACTTGCGTCTTCGCTATCATATTTGAACACGTATCGAGTTGTAGGTTTGGAAATTTGATAAGATGCCACAGATTTGTCCTTAGGTTCGCTGCCACATTTCAATAATGTAACAACGAAACTTCATATCCATTACTCGTCGCCGGTACGAACGACCGAAGCTTCGACCTTTTGCTCCATGGAGACTTGCTCGCTCGCACTCAGTGGTGCCATTCCGTNACCTGTAACATCGTTGCGTCAGCCACTGCTACACAGATTGCGATCTGGTGAAACGTGATCTCCAGTGACTTACCAAGTGATTGCCGCCAGACCTGCAAATGCTGCGATGCAGCTGAAAACCAGAGCCACAATGCCCCTAGCCGTAAAACCTGCAGGAACCGGACGAGCCGGTTTGTTCTGGCCGCTCAGGTCCAAGAGATCTTTTGTGTTGGCAGCCGCATTTCCTGCATAAGGCATGTCGGCGGCCTTGCAAGCAGCAAAGTGGTCGTCTGGCACACTGAGTCTTTTCTGCATCTCGAGGGGTGCTTCGATGAATGTAGCAGCCAAACCTTGCTGCATGTGCCAGTCAATATNGGCCTGATTGAGAGTTAGTACACTTCGCTTGTAGATTGACGCTGGCTCGGAGTACTCACAATGGAAAGCCCACACTCCAGGGTTATTTGCAACAAAACGAATGACAAGGTTTCCCATGGGTGGAAGCACTACGACATCACGACGCATAGGATACTCGGGGAATGCGGTGTGATTGTTGGGGTCGAAGACTTCAGGGTTGACATTGTCCTTCAGCGAGTAAAAGTCCTCACCATAGGATGGGTAACGGCTAACGACCTGGAAGTTATGTCCGTGGTAATGGAATGGATNGACCTGCATCAATCAGCCTAGGAACTTCACAGTGGAGCAAGGAGGGAAGGGGAACGTACTGCCTCCATCGTTGTTGGTGAGGACTACCTCGACCACGTCGAGGTGGTCAAGAACAAAGGCATTTGTATATTCGCCATATACAGCCTCGTTGGTTGCTTCGTCACCAGCTGTAAGGGCAGTGTAGAGACTGGGGACCTTGGGACGAGTGTAAGTTTGGTCATTGAAAANAGCGTATGGCTTGCCATTCTCGAGAATGCCCATGGAGACGGTCAGATTGATGACCTTGGTAGGGTTCTCGAACAGAGGCTCCTTGTCGTATGGAACAAGGGAATAGTCATCAAAAGCGGGATTCTCGTCCACAATGTTGAGAGTCACATTGACCGTGTCGAAAGCAGCCGAGGGGTTGTACTGGAGCCAATTGGTCTGGTTGAGACTCAATGTGTCCGGGACTCCATCTAGCAGCACCTGATCCGCAATGGTGACAAGGCCATAGTTGCGAGCAGTCGAAGGTTTCGTCGTGAAAAGAATAGAGTAGCGCTGCGCCACTGCAACGTACAACAACGAAGCCTCCTGAGGCTCAGTGAAGACGCCGTCCACTTCAACGATTGTGAAGTTGTGATCCTCAATATAGAAGTACTGGGCGACGAATGCACCGGTATTGACGATTCTCAGCAAGTAAGTAGAGTTGGGCTCGACTGAGAGTTTGGTGTTCGCAATAGAATCGTTGAATAGAAAGTTCTGTGGAATTGGCTCAGCTCCCGTAGGACTNNTGGGGGCGTGTTAGCAGAGTTCTTAATATTCTGCCATGGGCGTTTCCGCTTACTTAGAGAGGTCGAGGAAAGTGATATCTTCGACCATGTTGTGATACCAGTCGCTGACAGTGACCGCAAACTCTTCCTTGTACTGATCCGCGAACCAGGCATCATCATCATGTACGAGGAGCATTTGTCGGTAGCCATCTGGGTAACAAAGGTCGGTATGGCAGTGATACCAATAAGTGCCACTTTGGTCGACCGTAAAGTCGTATGTGAAAGATGCACCAGGAACAATTGGGCATTGGGTTTGCATGGAGGGTCCGTCCATTTCATTTGTAGAGTTTTGGAACAATCCGTGCCAATGGATACTCGTTGATTTGTCTCCAAGACCGTTGTAGACGTGAACGATGAGTCGGTCGCCCTTGTTGACCTCCAGAACAGGTAGTGGCCATGTGTTGTTGACACCAATCACTTTTCTTTCCTGCATTCCGTCGGGATTGGCCATCACCCATGTCATGTTAAAGTATTTCTCTATGACCACCGCTCGACATGTTGTAAGCAATAGCGTAAGGCCAAACAGAAGTTGGATGATGCCGCCTGCCATGGTTCCGGTATATGGGCGCACCAGCAAGTCACCAGAAACGATCTGATAAGAATCTACTAGTACGAGAAATCAGTTGGACATGGGAAGAACAGAGAGTGGGCAGATGATATGATTGATAAGATGCGAGAGGCTATTCAGGCAGCCTTTGGAAGTTTTTACGATCTTCGGCACTGTGGGCCAACCGTTGCCTAAGGGCGCCACAAGTCACAACCGCCTAGGGTCGCCGAAGTTAACTGGTATGAGAGAGTACTTCCGTGAATCTCCGGCCTGCTTCGTGTTCGATGAGGGCAATTTATCGTATGATTGTACCAATGCCCACGATGTCTTGAGCACTCTGTAGGGCCGATGAGGAGTCGTGCCAGCGGTCTGAGACGAGTATCATTTCGCGAGATGTGTCGAAGGATGCTTCACGCCAGATTGAACTACCATGTCCATCAAACTGGGCGAATGGAGAAGCTGATGAAAACGTGACGATCCAGATGCGTCTCCCCACCCCACGCGGATCGCTTATCTGATCCGTGTGTAGCGGCGGCTCACAAGCCTCTGCAAGCTCTTGACCAAGAACTCTTGGCCGTCGATCAACATGGGGCATGATGGAGTCCACTGTATTGAATTGAACTGATATTGTGTTGCTGTATATGCGAACAATTCCATATGATGATGCTCTATGGCAAGCTGAGGAAGAGCTACCAATGGCTTATGTTGTACGAGTCGTCGCTACGTCTCACCTTCTTCCTTTCCGGCATATTTTCGAAGGATCCTGGTAACGAACGCGACCAGCAACGCCACGAGGGGCTAGCTGAACCCTAGACCGCTCGTGGCACCGCTCAACGCGAACTTTGGAAACACGGATGCTTTGAGGGAAAAAAAGAAAGCGTTGGTGGCCGAGGTCGCAAATGTCACCGTTATCAGATCAGTGTTCCCGTCCCCTCTCATTTTCGATCAAATCAATCTTGATCATATCTATCTGATTTCGATTCTTTGCTCAACAGCAAGCACCACCTCAGCCATGGGTGTTAATGTGTTTGCGGTGCCTAGTATGTCCAATCATAACCTGAAAGTGCTGAGAAGCATGCTGATCTTGGTACANGTCTTCTTCATCTGCTTCAGAGAATGTCTTGAATGCAGTATCATCGTTTCCGTCTTGCTGTCTTTTCTGAAGCAAACTCTTGGTCCTGAGCATGACCCGGTTGTCTACAAGAAGTTGAGGGCTCAGATTTGGTGGGGCATTGGACTCGGCCTCTTGGTCTGTCTGATCATTGGCGGTGCTTTCATCGGAGCATTCTACGGATTTGGTGAGCTTGTTTGTTAGCATGATTGTCTTTCATCACTAACATGTCCTCAAGGCAAGGACCACTTCGCTGCAACCGAAGACATCTGGGAAGGCGTCTTTGGCCTGATTGCATCAATCATCATCTCAATCATGGGTGCCGCTCTCCTTCGAGTATCAAAGCTACAAACCAAATGGAGACTCAAGCTGGCCAAGGCTCTGGAAGAAAAGGACCAAAACAAGGGCACTGCGACTACTCGTTTCAAGCGATTCGCAGAAAAGTATGCCATGTTCATGCTTCCTTTCATCACTGTCATGAGAGAAGGACTTGAAGCGGTCGTCTTCATCGGAGGTGTTTCTCTTGGACTTCCAGCAACGTCGTTTCCTCTGGCCGTCATCACTGGTCTTGCAGCTGGCTGCATGATTGGATATCTGATTTACCGTGGCGGCAACATGGCATCCCTGCAAATGTTCCTCATCGTCTCAACTTGCGTCCTCTACCTCGTTGCTGCTGGTCTCTTTTCCAAGGCTATATGGTTCTTCGAGAACCACACTTGGAGCAAACTCATCGGTGGTGATGCCTCTGAAGTCGGTAGTGGCCCAGGATCTTACGATATCACCAAATCCGTCTGGCATGTCAACTGTTGCAACCCAGAGATCAACACTGGAGGATTTGGAATCTTCAACGCCATTCTCGGTTGGCAGAATTCTGCAACCTATGGTTCGGTCCTTTCATACAACTTTTACTGGATTGCGGTAATCATTGCCTTCATTTCCATGCGCTACAAGGAGCAACATGGCCACTGGCCCATGATGAAAGCCAGATCGAAGCATGTAGACAGTGAGAGTTTCAGCCAGGTTGGTGTGACAGAGACGGTGCAAAAGAAGGGCTTGGAGGAAGCTGCAACGACAACAGCGGTTAGAGAGATTGAGGTGTGAAAGAAACAAGCAACTCAAACACATACAAAGATGTGATACTGTATAGAAACTGATAATCAGAACATACCTTTGTCCATTATGAGCACACGTACTGGTTACAATGGTTTTTGTTGTGTAAGGTAAAAGGACAGGCAAAGAAATCACATTGGCGTGGGGAGCACCTGTCGATTGCATCTCCTGCTAAATTATGAGGGGGACCATTTGTACTGTCGTCTCACGTCTATGTCGAGTTCTCTTCTTCGTCCTCTTCTTCGTCATCCCCTTCCGCCAACTTTTCCACCATGAGATTTGCATTTCTGCCAACACGAGACTTTAAAGTACCGCCCTGATCAAGACCGTACACTTCGCGAGGCATCGGTGAGACCAATTGGAACTCGTACTCGTGGCTGTATCCACTAGGCTCCGAAGTGTCCTCTCCTGGTGCTAGCTCGTTGCTCTGCAGGATGTCGTAGCATTCAACGAATGCATATAGCTCTTCGAGCGGAGCATCGGCGCCAAACTTGCGTATCACCCTTTCGCCAGAAGGCATTCTGACACTGATGCGCACTACATCGCTGAGAGTAGGAGCAGGTTCTTGTGGCAACGAGTGTGCACGCCATTTCCTCCACTGCAAGATGTTCTCTGCCTTTCGTGCTTTTGCTTCTGCGCGTTCTTTTTCTTCGCGCTCTGCCTTTTGACGAGCAGCTTCGGCCTCCTTTCGCTGACGAGCCCTCTCCCTATCTTGAGCCAAAGATCGCTCGTATGCGCTGTTCTGCTCCTCTCTGAGAGATCTTGACGCCTGTTGTTCAGAGCGTTGTCTCCTCGCACCTTCCAGTTCTTGATCACGCTTCTGCATAGCGTCTTGCATCTTGACAAGAAATTCTGCTGGGGNGACAGGACCAGCGGCACGAGCGATCAAGGACATAGAGGTAGACGAGACGGAGGGCGTATGGACGACCAAGCCGGTGAAGGGAAATTTGGTGACGTTGAGGGCGTTGGCAACCTGGTACGCTTCGGAATCTTGAACACTTCCAGCCCAAACGATCATATCGGAGGTATGGGCCTGTATAAACTCCTTAACGTGCAGCGAGAGCAGAGTGTCGCGGACGAAGGGGGCGGTATCATCGTGTTCGGGGGACAACAGAATGACCAGTAGGTATTTTAAATCGCGTTTAGCCAGGTCAAAGGCCTGGGCATAGCCATTCTCGAAGAAGGGTATGGTGTTCGGTTCGACGTTGTACTCCTCCTCGAAATCGCGGATGAAGCGAGAAGCCGTGTCGCGAGGGTTCAAGGGACGTCTGTCTGAATTGTTGGAGCGAGCGGACTGCAGGGGAAAAAGACGGTGTAGGAGGCGAGGGAGAACAGGGAAGAGGTAGCCAAGCGCGCCAAAGACACGGCTGAAGATGGAGTAGGTCAGGTTGAAGGGCAGGAAGAGCAGCTGCAAGACAAAGGGCGCTGGCCGGGTCAGCTGGCTTTCTGGTGTAGGCACAACGCGCGGAGCCTGTTGCAGGCCGTGTGAAGTCGGTCTGCTTCTCGCAAAAGCGGCGGCATCGAGACTTGCGGCCAGGTTTTCTGATCGGCGCGTGTCTTGCGGCGGTGGTACGTCGACGTCGACGACATCGGCGTCACCGTCGAAGAAGCGTGTGATGGCGATCTNGGGGACAGCGTCAGTCGCGATGGCCAAGTAGCTCGTGAGTAGTCCGCAGAGCGGTACCTGAGCATTCCATTGACAGCGTTGTAGCAAGGCCAAAGCTGTCTCCAGGTCCTGGTCTGTTACAGATGTGACTTGTTGTAGCGCCAGTTGCTGCTCTTCGGAGAGCTGCGATATGTCTGTTGAAGGTGCCGACATGGCGTCGTACCCGGTGCCGGTGCTATCTCTATCTCTGCTTCTGCCACAGTGTCAATAATGTGGGAGGCAGCTATCTAAGAGTAAACTCTGGAGAAAACACCAAGGTTGCCCATGTCATGCTTGGCAACCCTGCCTCAGCTCTCTTCATGACTCGTAGTGGCCTTAGAAGAGGGTCGCATGTCGACATATCTCGCGTGGCCTCGTCTGTCCAATCGAGCCTATCTGTGCCTCTCCGTCCTTGGGATCGGAACTATCTTCTACCCCAAGCTGTTTGTGCCCGGCCAATTCATCTCGTGTGAGCCAAGGTACACTTGCAACTCCGTTGTTCCACTTTGTTGTTGAGGACTGTCCGGCACATACCGACACTTCCCCAAACCAACGACTGGCTTCACTCTCATCCTCTGTTGCTCGTGCATCTCCAGCCATATCGGTTCGAGGTTTTGTTAGTGCTCTGTATCCAGCACTTCTTGAGTTGTTGTTTTCGCAATGTTTTTCGTGGCTTCGTTCGATTAGGTATGTGCAGATCCAAGCACTGAAGGCTGCACCTTGCCCGTCTGTCCTCCCAATCCCCGGGCTCGTCATATCTGCAGCCTCCCTATCCGTCTCTTACCTAGGCCTTTCTTCTCGCATTGCCAAAACCCATTCAACTTTTACGTGTCGCTCCACCATCTAACTCTTGCATATGCAGATACTGCATCTGGTCACCGAACTCCTGTTAACCAAGAGGCTCTTGTATCGCTCACGCCAATTCTATTCTTCACCATCAACAACCCCTTTTCAGCTATACATTGCTATATTGCCTCGTTCTTGGTTCTTATTGCCAGGTTGCTTCGTTGTGCTCGACTCTTACCTCTCAAAGCTTTGTCCCCTTTGATGACACATCTTCTGAGGAACCAAAATAAACCGACACATCCGTGACTCGAACAAATTTTGCGAATAATCCCAGGAACTCGCTAGCCAACATTGGATCACTCTATTTCCCGAAACCACCCTCACCACCATGGCAGCATCGGGTGTCAGCAGCCCGGGCGACATGCGTAGGAGACATCAGTCCCCAAGACCCAAAGGCCGTGGTATGTATCCTAGACCATTATCAAAAGACTTAGCTGATCATTGATATCTGACACGAGCACANGAGAATACCAAAAACGTCCTGTGTAGGAACATCACTATTTATGGCAGTTGCAGAGCTCAAAACAACGGTTGGTCGTGCAAGCCTTTTGCCTAGGTGCAGCCTGACTGATGGATCATAGGCTGTCCTTACAACCACGAGCTGCCTCCGAAACCCTCTCAACAGACAGAAAGGTACGTAGAGCAGTGGTCCTTTGTTTCTCTACATGAACTCACGGTGTATAGCGCCAAGCGCTTCCTGAACGTGGATTCTCCATCTTTCAAACCCCTGTCACCTGTCACGAATAATGCGCAGCCTGTGAAGACCCTCGGTATTTCGCCTAAAGCGGCTTCAGCGGCTGTATTCACACCAAAGTCAACCGGTATGGTCAGCCTGATTGCAACCCAGGTTCAAATGACTGACTTGAACCAGCAGCGNGTGCCTGTCGCATCAGCCAAGCAATCATCGACAGAATGGTCTCAGCGTGGTATACAAGAGTTCGTGCCCCAGAACTTTGTGCCTCAAGCAGTAAGTACTGATTCCCGGATCCTTGTGTAGTATCATCGTACTGTTCTCGGGCTTGACAATGGGCGGCATGTGCTAATGAAGGCTGCGTACAGGCTGAGNAGCGGCTCATCTGCAAACAACATATCCTCCTTCGACCCGTTCACCATGCAAGGGAGTTCTGGTCAGATGTCCGATGCTTCCCATGCTCCGCAGATCAACCCGTATGCTCAGGATGCTTCCACTATGGCTGCAAATTCAATGTTCTCAGCTGCTGCGGCTTTTGCCCACCCTGTATGCCAACTATCCATGTTTTTCTCATAGGCATACACTGACTGTTTTCCANNGCTTAGTTACCATCTCTATGCGCCCTTGGGCCCTCATCGAGAGAATCTCATGGCTTATCAGCGAACAACTCATGACTTTTTCATTCCCGATCACTTGCGCGAGGAGATGCAACGTAAATCTGAGGCATCTCTCCAGACATTCTCCAGTAAGCTGTGCGGCTTCAATGTGTCGATACAACGAAACTCATCCATTACAGACACCGCACTGCCTCAGCAGATAGAACACTTCCATTCTCTGGTTGCTCTCGATACAAATGTCCAAAAGTCTGCATCAGCATATGGCTATCCAAGTTGGATATACAAGGCCACCTCCAGCAAAGATGGGTACAACTATGCTCTTAGACGTCTAGAAGGTAGAAAGTCTTGCTCCTACTTTTCGATCATTGAAAGCTTACATCAGACTTGCNNAGGCTTCCGACTGACCGACGAGAACGCAATACGCACTATCCAGACCTGGAAACGTATCAGCAACGGAAATGTTGTTACTGTCCATGACGCTTTCACAACCAGAGCATTCGGAGATAGTTCTCTGATCGTCGTCACTGACTACCATCCTCTCTCTCAGACGCTGGCTGACAAGATATTCACTCCAAACACCAGAAATCCAGGAGCCCCCATGTCGCGATCCCCAGGAAGCTATGTGACTGATCATGAATTGTGGGGATACATCGTCCAGCTCGCATCTGCTGTCAAAGCTATCCACTCAATAGGCCTCGCTGCTCGACTTATGACTCCTCAGAAGATCCTTATCACGTCCAAGAGTCGACTGCGCTTGAACTCTTGTGGCATCCTTGATATCGCTCAATACGAACAGGACCGCAGCATATCGGAGCTCCAGCAAGATGATATACTGCAAATGGGGCGCTTGATACTCTGCATAGCCAACAAAAATCCTACGGCTCACCACAACACTCAGAAGTCTCTTGAGCACGTTGGTCGAGCATATAGCGAAAAGATGCGCGAGGTAGTCACCTGGCTACTCACCCCTGCTACGCCAATGACACCAACTCAAGCACCAGCAAGTTCGCCCGCCTCCGCAGCAGCGACTACATCTTCAGACCACGATATTGACAGCTTCCTCTCACTGATCTCGTCGCAAATAACATTGACCTTCGACGCCAGTCTGCACGAAGCCGACTCACTGACGAGTAATCTATCTCGCGAGCTTGAGAATGCACGCATTGTACGCCTGCTCACCAAGCTTAATATGGTCCTTGAGCGCCCCGAGGCGACTCTGGCATCCAATGCTGCGAACCCAAATCAGCCTGCTGCTCCACACACTCTTAACCACACTTCGTCTGCTTGGTCCGAGACTGGAGAACGCTACTACCTCAAACTGTTCCGTGATTATGTGTTCCATCAGGTTGATGCAGATGGCCGACCTGTGCTTGATCTCGGACATATCCTGACATGCTTGAACAAGCTGGATGCTGGTATCGAAGAGAAGATCATGCTGGTTAGCAGGGACGAGCAGAATTGTTTCGTCGTCAGCTACAGAGAGGTGAAGAGAGGGTTCGAGAGCGCTTGGACAGAGTTGATGAAGGCTAGTCAGGGCGGAAGAAGATAGACTATGGACGTATAGACCACCAAAAAAAAATGAGAAAAGGTTCTTTTGACTTGGTGGTGGAACGAAGTGACCATGTTCGCTCGTCAGTACTACCACCCTGTCTGCATATCATATCGTAGATAAACAGTCCGAACAGTCCTAACAAAGCATACTTGCCTGGGCTGTAGCCTGGGGTGCACAGTGACAGTGCTTATAGCTAGGTGGTGTGTGTAGTTGAGGCACTGTCCATGTTTGATCATCGTAATGGTACCAGTTCAGAGATGGCTTTTTCATAGAAGTGTGAGCAATCGGCAGTAGCAACACAATCCTAAATACACGGCGTCAAATGACGAGTCCATGTGAGAACGTTGGAGTAACCAGTTAAGCACGTACTCATCCTAGCATTAGAAAGGAACTCCCTCAAGGTCCTCATGAATTCAAAGCCAAAGACAAGCAAAATATGTATGACATAAATTGCGACCCCTCGGACCCCACCTCCCAAAAAGGTAAGGCGCAAAGACCAAGAAAAACAAGCATGTGATGTGACGCTTCCAGACTCGGTGAGCAGGCAGAGGAGAGAGAAGACCCTTGGGAAAGCACACGAAAAAGACCCAAAGTCGAAACAGACTGCCCCCCTTCTCTTGAAACACAACAAGGCAGCCACAACAACCAACAGGCTCCCTTACTACCACTGTTTTCTCTCTCGCTTTTCAGTCACAAAAGTCTGTCATTTTATCGGAACATCATCACAGAGGCATATCGCAAACATGTCGGCACACCAAAGAAGACCTAGCATGGTATGTCATACGAGGGCGGCCGCAGCCAGACCGCAACAGGCAGCATCCTCAGCCGCCAAACAGATGGCATCCAAAGCAGCAGAATCAGCTAACGTTGATGTTCAATCCAGGCGGAGAACCTTACACCAGAGCAAATCAAGGAGCTCAAGGAGGTCTTCAACGTCTTTGTAAGTCCCCCAAAGGAGAAGACGAGACAGCGAAAATCGCGTAGAACGAAACCACTGACAGATGACTTTTGTAGNGACAAAGATGGAAACGGCAACATCACAGTCGACGAACTGGGCGAGGTCATGCGCTCTCTCGGCCAAGAACCCTCTCAAACCGAGCTCGAAGACATTCTCAACGAAATCGACAAGGACGGCTCCGGCTCCATCGAATTCGACGAGTTCCTCTCAATGATGGGCCGCAAGGTCCAGCAAGCAGACAGCGAGTCCGAGCTGAGAGCGGCTTTCGCAGTCTTTGACAGAGATGGCAGTGGCACCATTTCTGCCGAGGAGTTGAGAAATGTCATGAAGAGCATTGGTGAAAATCTGTCCGACTCTGAGATTGATGAAATGATCAAGGAAGCCGATGCCAATGGAGACGGCAACATTGATTGTGAGTTGGTCGATTTGACAATGAATAGATCAAAGCTAATACGATCTGCAGACGACGAGTTTGTCAAGATCATGAGCGTCTAGGAGTTTTCAAGCTCGCGAGTATGCTTTAGTCCTTTCTTTCAAAAGCCAGTTTGTGCAGGTTACATCTTGGTCAGGAGCTCAAGCATACATGATTCTACCATGAGAATATCACGAAAATCAAAGCAGGATAGGGCTTTGGGTATTAATCTACGTAACAGAAGACTCTCACCAAAGAGTGTGGAAATATCGATTCTCACAGCACACAAGATCATCACATTCAGTGTCGTGTGACGTGAGTTCAAAGGAATGAAAAAGACAAGATTTCAGGATGTAGTAGACAATTGTTCTGCGTCACTATCGTATACACTAAAGAGTTTCTCTCGGCCTGGTGCCTATGATGCTTTTTTAGGCATGTGCCCTAGCTCCCAAGGGATGCTGAATGAGTCGAGCTGTTGATACTCTGACAGTACTGGTGTGTGGGGCGAGTAGTTTATCGGTCCTTCTTGGGGGTGCTGTCGGAGTTGCCAGAGACCTGGTCACCAAGACGGTTGTACTCGGTAGAAAGACCCTGGGCCTGCTTCTTGAGAGTCTCGATGTCACGGTCCTTGGCAGCAAGCTCCTTCTTCAGACGGCCAACCTCGCCAATGCTGCTGACCTCGTTGAGCTTGCCATCCTTGGTTTTGTCGGTGCCCTTCAGCTGTCTGTTCTCAAGCTCGAGGCGGAGGACGTCAAGGATCATGGTGTAGGTGCGGTTGAGGATCAGAGAGAGGAAGAGGGTGAAGCCACAGAGGTACATGTTGCGTTGCGAGTAGAACTTGCGAGCCTGGATCTCCATGCGTTCGATACCACCAACGGCAGCAGCACTGATTGAGCAGGTTAGCGAAACGAACTCGAGGTTAGGAGAGGGGAAACAAAGCTTACCNNCGGCGCCGTTGTTCGCGTTGTTGGCTTTGGCAAGCTCAAGCTGGACGCGGTAGACGCGGTTGACACTGTCAACGAACAGGATCAGGATGAAGACAAAGGTGATNNCTGATGGCAGGGTGAGCATTGGAGCTACAGGCGAGCTGGAAGATGTGGAGCACGATACCTTTATCCAGTACTGCAGCTTTGCTATGACAGGACTCTCGGAGATGAAGGTCAGGAGCTTGCGCTTCCAGCTGAATGGCATGGGGACAATCAGCGACATGAAGACGACCATCTCGAAGACGAGAAGGGCGAAGACAAGACTGTAGTAGAGCGTCATGATGGGCAATTGGTGGTGTTTGGTGGTTGGTTGATGTGGATGTAGGAAGGGAGAAGAGGGACTGGAGATGGATGTCTCTATTTCTACAGGACGTCGTCCGCGCAAAACCGGCCGGCTTTGGGAAGCAACACGTACGAAACAAACTTGGCTACGTCGATGCCTACGTCAGTGGGGAGCTGAGACCATCGCAGCTTCCCCCAAAAGCCTCACTCGCGCTTGAGCCGAGAACATGCCGGCTCGACTGTCTGTGCGCCGCGCGATAAGAAGCTTATCGTTCTCGTGGTTCGAAAAAGTGTCGCCGCTCTGTGAACAGAGAGAGTCTTCCAGCATTTGTCCTAGCAAACATGGCAGACAACACCGACAAATCTTTCAATGGCGCAGGTACAACGGCGCCTGCCCAACCCGCCGCCAACCCTCTCAATCCCTCGGAGCCCTTGAAGCGCCCGGCGCCCGGCGACTCGACAGAACCCGCCAACCCGCAGACGGAAATCCTTCCTTTCGATTCAGCCCTTACACGCGCCGAGAAGGTCGAGCGCAATGGTGACGAGCAACCCTCTAAGCGAGTCAAGCTGGAACAGGACCCCGTCTTGGCCGCCGTGGATCCCAAACCGCGAACCAAGGGCGTTGCCCCCATCAAGAAGGAGTACCTGATTCACAACCTCGACCCGGCTGGAAGACCTGAGCAGGTCTCAGAAGAAAACCCAGATGATGCCGCCGAAGGAAGCAAGCACGAGTCGCAACAGCAGTCCAAGGACAAGAAGCAGAAGAACCGCGGCCAGAACAAGGCTAGAACTTTTGGCAGCTCGCGCGATGCTCTCCAACTGTGTAAGACCCGCGTCCACAACAATGAGTTCTCGCCCGCAGAGTGCCCATTCGGCGACAAGTGCAGAATGGAACACAACCTCCGCAAGTACCTGGCAGAAGGCAAGCGCGAGGACCTGACTACCTTCAACACAAAGTGCCCCATCTTCGAGATCAAGGGCAAATGTAATGCTGGCTGGAAGTGCCGCTTTGCTGGTTCCCACTCTACCGAAAGGGACACTACCGATGGCCGCAAGGAACTCGTTCTTCTGGACAACGACAAGGCCACAGGCGACGGCGCTCAAGCAGAAGAGGAGGAGGGCGTTGGAGTGGTTAACGTTGTCTCGATGGGTGCCAAAATCGAGCTCAGGAAGAAAAAGACCAGCATGCCCAAGTCTGAAGCCTACGTGGCTTGGCTGGACAAGCGTCAGACTGAGATGAACAAGTACTACGGAGCAAACAAGCCCGAAGAAGGACAAGCAGCTGCTGCTGAGAGCATGTCACTCGAGGAGCGTCGCGCCCAGTTCACAGAAGCGCCTGTTCGTGCTTCGGAAAAACGCAGAATCTACTACGGCCCAGAAACTCCAGTCCTAGCCCCATTGACCACACAAGGAAACCTCCCCTTCAGACGTTTGTGCGTCGGTCTCGGTGCTCAGGTCACATGGTCCGAGATGGCCATGGGTCTGCCGCTGATCCAAGGTGAAAAGGGCGAATGGGCTTTGGCCAAGGCCCATGAGTCCGAGATCACTCCTCCCAAATACACTCCCAAGTCCGTCGTTGCTGGCTACGACAACTCCAAGGACATCAAGTTTGGTGTCCAGATTGCCGGAAACAAGCCCTGGAACGTCCTCAAGACCACCGAAATCCTGACTGCTCTCTGCCCCAGCATTCGTGCAATCGACTTGAACTGTGGCTGCCCTATCGATCTTGTTTACCGTCAAGGCGCTGGTTCCGCGCTCATGGATTCACCGGGCAAGCTCGAAAAGATTCTGCGTGGTATGAATGCCGTCTCTGGAGAAGTGCCCATCACCGTCAAAATCCGTATGGGTACCAAGGACAACCACCCTACTGCTGACAGACTTGTCCAACGTCTTGTGCTCGGAGGTGAAGAAGCTCTCGCAACTGGTGATGGCCCCTGCGGTGTTGCTGCCATTACCCTCCATGGTCGCAGTCGCCAACAGAGATACACTCGTCAGGCCAACTGGGAGTACATTGCCGAATGCTCGGCCTTGGTCAACAGACTCAAGCAAAAGCAAGCAGAGGTAACAGACACCATCCGCGAGGCAGATGCTCGCGACATGACCGCCTCGAACAACGGCATGCCATACTTCTGCGGCAACGGCGACGTCTACTCCCACGTCGACTACTTTGACGCCGTCAACAATGCCAACGTCGACTCAGCCATGATCGGTCGCGGCGCACTGATTAAGCCCTGGATCTTCGAGGAGATTCAAACCGGCCAGTACCTCGACAAGAGTGCTTCAGAGAGATTGCAATACATTGAGCAATTCACACGCTTTGGTCTCGAGAACTGGGGATCCGATGAGATTGGTGTGGGAGTCACGCGTCGCTTCTTGCTCGAGTGGTTGAGCTTCAGTTGCAGATACGTGCCCCTCGGTCTGCTCGAACACTTGCCGCCACACATGAACGACAGACCTCCCGCCTTCCGTGGCAGAAACGAGCTCGAGACGTTGCTCAGCAGCCCCAACTACAAGGACTGGATAAAGATTAGGCAAGTACATGGCATCTTATACCTAGACACAATGTCAGCTAACAAGACTGCNAGTGAAATGTTCCTGGGACCTGCACACAAGGACTTCCAGTTCCAGCCCAAGCACAAGAGCAACAGCTACGAGATCGAGGCGGAAGGTTAAAGGCCTGTAAAATATCGTCAAGGATACGGGTTGGTAGGACTCCCGGATCGTACAAAATGTATCAACTCCCGCTCCCCATGGGTAAATTATAGCTTTCAAAAAGATGCACTAATGGATGTGCTTCACTGAGATCACAACCTGCAGCACGTTCAGTAGCTCATGCCGACATGGCGATCCCGAGTCGAAGTCAAATGTGTACACGTCTAGACGATATCTAATATTTAGGGGCCATATCAGTACTCTGAGCACTCTTGTGTTGATCAGAATCTAGGTTTGCTCGAAAGCGGGACTGGCGGCGCGTCAGATTGCAGCTCTTTTTTTCTTTGGCGGCGGCGGCGGAGGTTTCTTCCCAGCAGCACNNCGTTTGGAGCGAAAGGTGATGCAGCCGAAGCGACGGTACCTGCGTGCTGGGTGGCCAAATTCATGGCGGTAGGTGAAGCAGCAACCCGTGAGAAGCCTGATTGTAAAGCTTGTGCTTGCTGTGGAGATGCGCCGGAGGCAGAAGCGAAGGTGCCGGCGTGCTGAACGGCTTGTTTTTGAACAGCAGGGGATGATGCAATGTTCGCTGCGTGGTTACGGACGGTGGGCGAGGAAGCCAGTCCTGCTAGACGGGATTGTACTTGCGGGTTGCCTGCTTGCTGCGAAACCATGTTTCCAAAACGTGATGATATACCGCTTGAGGACTGCGATGGCTGGTTGTGTGACGAGTCGGAGGACGACATTCTGGAGAATCGCGATTGCAACTCGTTCATTTGAGATGGTGGAGGTGGGCGGAAGGACGATGGGGGAGGAGCAGGTGCGGGCGAGGAATTCCTAGCACCAATGTCGAAGCCAGGAACACTTACGCCTGCACGGGCAAGTCGATTCATTGCGCCTTGATCTGGGGCAGGTACGTGTGCAGGTTGCTGGACTTCTTGGTAGACAGGAGGAGGTGAAGGAGAGTTCAGATCGGGATGCGAGTTCTGTCGTGGAGGCAATCGAGGTGGTAATGAGGGCTGTTGCCTGAGCGGAGCAGTGGGAGGCGTGGGTGTAGAACGAGGAGGAGGTAGGGGCACGCGAGCAGTAGGGGACGGCGCAATCTGACGAGGAGGAGGTCTGGGTTGGGAGGAGATGGAGGATGGCGAGGCCGTGTCGACACGTCGCACGGGAGGCTTGGGCAGATTCGCAGTCGACAGGCCAGTTGTGTCGACTCGATAAGGGCCTGGCGGTGGGCGAGAGGCTTCCTCATCTTCCTGCTGGGCTTGTTGGTGTGTGTATTGCTGCTGCTGGATCATCTCTTTGGGCAGCGGGGCACCCAGTCCACGGGTAGCGGCCGTGTTTGCGGGGGGTACTGGCATAGCTAGATGTGGTGGTGNAGCGCACTCGACGAGTCGGTGGCCGCTGCTTGGCCATGGTAGTGGATGTGTTTTGGAGGAGGCGCGAAAGAGGCAGCTGCGCCGTGGTCAGCACCGGGTCGCGGACGATGCTTCTTTCCTTGACTACTCACGGTCTCTCAAGGCCGTCAAGGGCTGCGATACGTGGTTCTCGCGCGCCTCTATGCGCTCTCGCTCCGACTTGCTCGTGCTCCCTGGGATCCTGTCGTTGATGCGGCTGGGGATTCTGTCGTTGATCTTGGACCGCCAACCACTGCCTCCTCCAGAAGAGCTGCTGCTGCTGCTGCTGTTGTCTTTGCCGCCGCCCGGATGCCATCCTCCTTTTGCTATGTTCCGCAGTCCAGACATGGTGTCTTGTAATGATGTGTATGCTTTTGCAAGTCTTTGTTTCCCATCTTCTCCTCAACTCCATCTGTCGTCCCATGCCCCGCTTACGTCAGCCCTTGTGGTCTTTCACATATCTACTCGGTACACTCTCTCTGTCAATCACCACACGACCTAGCTTGAGAGATTGTGAATCTAATCAATTGTATCATATGCAATTCGTCAGTGGGGGATATCTCTAATCGACAATGCCAACTCCAGGACGCCGCTCAACCTTTCCTCCTTCTAACCCACCACGCTCCTCTTCCTCAATGTCGGTGACTCTGCACTCAGCTCTACACGCTTCCACATGCCCACGTGCATGATGTTTTCCTCGTCCCACGTACCCATGCTCTCGTCCTTGATGAAGCCAAACGAGGCCCAGTATTTCTCCAAATGTGCTTGGGCATGTACCAAGACAAGGCCTCTCCACACGTCTTCGACTTCGGCTCCTCCTCCAAGCTCGAGCTTGCGTTGCTCAGCTGCTGCAGGAGACACGGGCGGCAGGATCTTGTCCACGTTGTCGGTTGCCCATGTGAGGGCAGCATCAATGAGAAGACGGGCGAGTCCGAGTCCNNTTGCAGCAGTAACGTCAGCATGGTTCGATTAGACAAGTGGATTGATGGGAATACCTCTGAAGGGCTGGAGGACGGATAGGCGGCCGAGCTTGATGTATGCCTCCTTGCCATCATGCATGTCGGTCTTGCTCAGTCCACTCTGCATGTCTTGCGGCAAACCCTCGTGGTTGTCGATCTTGTGACTTGAGCCAGGCTGAGGATGAGGCGGGTGAGGAGGTGGCACGAGTCTGATTGTTCCGACGGGCAGTCTCATGGCGGTACTGCCCTTGCGACCCGACTTTTCGGCAGACGTTGCAGAGTCCCTGTCGACGCCGTCCATTGCAGCGCTGCCGTCACTGGCAGACGTGCCGACCGAGGCATAGGCAACCCAGTGGAAGCTGCGTGCGTCGTCAATGTCGACCTCGTTCTCCAGTGCAATGTTTTGCTCCTTGACAAAGACGTCTTCGCGCACGCTCATGGCGTCGCGGAAGATCTCTGGTACGTCTTGCGGCTGCGTCGTGTGCAGTGCGGCGGAATCATAGCTGGCCAGACCCAGACCGGGAGNGGGTAGGAATGAGATGAATTGCGACATGGCCCGTGTCGAGGCTGGTGACCATGCAAATAGAAAAACTTGTATCAATCGTATCGCTGTGTAGCTCAGGGGTGGATGTCGATGGTGCCGCGCTCAACGTAAGGGGGAGAGCTCTTTGTTGTCTCCGTATTTTGTCGGTGGTGTCAAGGATATCGAGATGCAAAAGACAAGTCCGAGTAGGGTCTCATAAGAAGTGTCTTCTCATGGTCACATTCATCTGCCAAGCTAACCATGTCAACATCAACCTTGCAACGATCAGAAAGCCACGCCGCCGCAACCATACTGCAGCCCACAGCGGCTTCCAACTCCTAAGCTCGGGAATGACGCGTGCCCGCATNCAAGGTCTGTGCGCGAGCTTGCCGCCCGTCAGTCATTGAACATGCCTCGAACTAGTCTTGCAACTACACGTCCGATATGACCATGAGGAATTACTCTGCTCGCTCTGCTGTACGACGAATGTCATGATGTTTATGTTCTTATCCAGCCCATGNCCACGGCTCTGGAGTCTAAACGTCTGCATCGAAGTGCTCGTGGATCATAANCGTGTAGGTTAGGTTGATCATTACTCTATTGATATGTCATTCTATCTAAAATCGCTTGTCGTCAGTCCAACATCATTCTAGTCCTCGCAGTCCCACTCGTCGCCATCTCCTTCGCCTGGAGTGCCATTGTACATTGCAGCAAATCCAAGTGTGGCCTGCCCTCCAACTTCCGAGAAGACCATGAACTGCGACTTCAAGAAAATGTCTCCTAGAATGCTAAAGCTGAGTCCAGTATTCTGCTGCATACCGCCAAAGCACGTCGTGTACGAAATCTGTGCGTAGTTCATGTAGCTGCCGGGCTGAAGTCTTTGTTAGCAGGTTTCATACACTTCGAGGAAGACGACGATACGTACCACTGTGAATTTGTTGCCTCCAACGACCAAGTTGAAGTCAGGCAATGCAGAAGTGCAAGGGAACGTGTAGCCACCTTGATTGCTATCGTATCCAGCTCCCGTGACCTGACCCCAGTATGCAGTAACAAAGCTCGAGGGAAGATACATGAGCGAAGTACCAGTGTCGGCAATGGCAACAAAAGAAGAGCTGACTGTAGACGAAGACCCGATCTGATATCCATCGGCTGTGAACTGCCAGAACCCGCTGGCACTGTTCACGTTGACGTAGGTAATCTTGCCCGAGTACTTTGACGAGTCAATGTAACCAAAGTCGTAGGTACCGGGAGCTCCCTTCTTCAGGTTGGCAGTCCAGAGTGGCAATGCGAGCGAGCCCTTGACTGTGTCGAAGAAGGTCTTTTGCTGATTTGGCGAGACAGTGTTGATGTTGCTGAACGACAAGCCAACAAGACCATCGTTGTTCTTATCGTTCAGGAATGACTGTGACACCGATGTCGCCGCTTCCACGGCTTGTGATGTCGCCGTCACACTGCCGACGATGACCTTGTCTGCATAGACCTTGCCACTTGCGGTAGAGCCGTCACCGTACTTGATCGACCAGGTGTTTCCGACCAACAGCTGTGATGTCGAACTCAGGCTGGGATCATAGATCGAGTGTCCGCTTTGCTGGGAACTGGGCTGTAACGAGGAATATACCCATAGATCTGCGCTGCCGCTGTCGAAGTTCAAGTTTAACATCTGTCCGCCAACAGAGACTGGGCAAAGGTAGGACATGTCATACTGGTGCCAGAATCAGCAATGATATCGAGACAAGGATCGAGTCTTACCTACGTTTTGTGGAGTTGCTTGCACAGTTCCTGCCTGAATTGCTGCACCGGCGGCTTTCAGTTGGGTTGGTGGCGTGGCAGAGAATTTGGCGTATGTGTTCAACATCGACAACGCAGGAGCCAGCATCTCTTGCTTCTTCGCCAGGACCTGCTGGACCGTGAAAGTCTTCTTGCCCTTGATGTCTGCGATGGAGACGGTCCTCTTGCTACTGACATCGACCGGCGATGCCAAAGCTGAGCTGACGAGCGATGCCACCAGGGCAAAGTGCGAATTGAAGTGCATCTTGTGAGTATGGATTCGACACGGGCGGGAAGACGGGGGCTCTTTGCTCGTAGACGAGAAGTTGCTTGCTTGGAACGAGCCCGGCGCCCGGATGGACAGATGCTTTATACAACCCTGAAGCGATTTGAGTGTTGCATGGCTTACATTGCCAGTACCTGGCTGACCAACGGGCACGACTCAACCGCTGTTGCCAATCGGGTTTGACTGGCCGTTGTGCTACGTGTAGTTCAAATCGGTCGGGAGGTGGCCGCCGGTTCTTTACAGCAGCCAGATCCCCAATCTGGACCGCTGGAAGTCTCTGATCCGATACCAAGACGACCCGATTGGATCCAAGTCGATCAAATCAACCAAAAGCCCAGACATCTGTTTGAAAACCATGTGGTTGACCCAAAAGTCATGTTCACGTTGAGCTATTGCTCATGCCGTTGCAGTTGCCGACCGTTCAGAACGGTTGCCCCTTCGAATCCGAAAATTCTCCTCCTTTCTGGGGGTCAATAAATGGTTGGTATTGCGTTGCATGGTTTATTGAAGTCCAAGAGTGAGCGTGTCTATTTCCTAAGCAACAAAGTTACTTGTACGAAGGGGTTGGGGGCTAGACTGAAATCTCGTCATCTTGCGTACGGTGCTAAAAACGTGTTCATGTTTGATTTTAAAACTGCATGTCTACTTGAACCAGTAAGACACCGTACACAAGCGCTGCTACTGAATAGGCCAGGCTCTCGATACATACAATACCTCAGTGATTACTCATTGCGATCAAGCAGTGACGACGGCGGTTGCGGACTTGAGCCCCGGCATGTCTTTCAAATTGTTCTTGAACAGCGCGCCCAGCTATTTGCAATCGTTCCGAACGCGACCGCGAACCAGGTGAAAGTGCGACTTCCAGTGCTAGCCAATGTCTTCCTGAGACACATCAAGCGTCCAGCCTTCGGGAGCGGCATCGCACAGAGCTAACAAGCCGCAAGAATGCAACCATAAGTACTTTTGCTCAATCACTGCACACATAGACAAGGGGAGACATTCCAAACAATAATCGACATACAGGTATGCTGATGAAAACTATACCAAATCTCCTCCCTGCTGAGGGATACTTGGCGTTGGCTCATGCTCGAGCACGAGCACGAGCACGAGCACGAGCATGAGCTCCGCTACCTATTCTGAGTACCTTGATGTATGAGATGTATTGTACGATATAAGAGAAGGGTTCCTTGGATAACTTGTCAGAGCTGCTGCACGGTCGGATTCGCTGTTTCGCATGCGAATGCATTTGGTTGTCGGGAATCTGGACGCGATCGACATGCAGTCGTTCGGCACGTGCGAGTAAGACCGCATAGGAGGAACGGTCGCTAGGATATGGCTAACACATGGGCAGGTCGGTATTTCATAACTCAAAACTCTTGATACGTGATGGTCATGATTGTGAATTCATTGCTTTCTTCATACAGGAGATTTCTCAAAGACAACCAACGGTTGCTGAAAAGCGTGAGGCAGCGAGGTGGACTTGCCACGATCAGAGCTCCTTCTTCAAGAAATGTTCCGCCCTGTGTTCGGTTTCGTAATCACTATGGACGTAGGCTCTCTCGACATCTGGCAGACCTTCGAGTTTATTTTGCAAGTCTTCTGCAATGTCGTGAGTCTCTTTGAGTGTCATGTTCGGGTGGAGAACAATGTCCACTTCAACTGTAATTCGAGGACCAGAGTACCAGGCCCTTACAGTGTCCAGGCTGACGATATCCGGACTGTGTGTCATGGAAATGTACGTGATCCACTGAAGAATGTGGGTTGGCGCGGTGACTCCGATCAGAAGCTGAAATTCAGAGTAAGCGGTACGAAGCCACAGGAAGGCGACCAGACACGAGAGCGCAATAGCTCCTGCGGGATCGATTTGCCAGGCGAGCTTGCTACCTCCAACGGAGGTCAAAACACCGANATCTGAATAAACGAGATTAGCAGTGACAGACAGGTTAACAGAATTGAACACATGCCCATTGATGAATAGATCATTTCTGTGGTCTGTTTCTCGTCAGCATGACTCCAGATTGAATTTCATGTTCTAGATTGACGGACCTTCCCATAGAATGCGGATAGAGGAATATTTGTTCCTCAGAGACCAGCAGTAAATAAACAGCGCAAGTTTGGTAGCAAAGGCAACGCACACAGCAAGGACGGAAGGCAAGTGGAAAGTTTTCGTCTCGGAATCTGATCCTCTGACGAGCTCCATTGCCGAGAGCACTATTAGAATAAATGAGACACTGCACATAAGCCCACAGAAGGCGATATTGCCTGCAGTCTCGATGCGAGCTTTTCCGGCAGGGAACTTGCGAGGATCGACTTTGTTGACAGCTCGATTACAAAGCAGTAAGGTGGCATTGGCCAATGGGTCGAAGATGGCATCGGCAGTGGTGGTGAACAGGGACAAAGAACCAGAAGAAACAGCTCCGTACAATTGGAGACCGGCGAGGAGTATGTTCGCAGCGAATGAACCGTAGACAGCGATCTTGTATTGTAGATTGTCAGCACCAGCTTCCTCCTTGGCTTCTCTCCTATGGTCGTCGACTGGTTTCAACATTCTTTCGATAGCCTCGTTCTGACCCTCGTAGAAACCTCGAACTTTGCGTAGTTGAATGGCATCCTTGGTCTGAGCAACAGGGGCGCATAAGCGATCCTTAGCACCTTGACGTCTCCTAGACGTGTTTGCCTGCATGGCATCCAGCTGCGTAGCGCTCTTAATGCGGCTCGATAGGTCTAGTGGGTCATTTTCAGTGGTATAGCTCGGAAGGGCCTGGCCTTCTACGTCTTCAGCCTCGCTGGCGTTGCGAGCATAGGCAGGGCGCGAGACAGGGTCATGGGACTCATTGACCTCGTACGAGGTAGACGCAGAAGTGGCGGCCTTGGTCTGTGGCAGCGGGAGAACAGGAAGCACTCCTGTCGGGAGTTGAGTGGCCCGGGTTAAGAGTTCAGGGTGTGCGTGGAATGGACTGGGTCGCAGAGAGATGGCGCGGTGGAGGTCCGGATCAGAGCCGTGATGCGACATGATGGATATAGCGCTTGCTCTCTACACAAGAGAGGTGGTATGCTTTTGAAACGGGAAGGCAGTTAAGTGAAGGCGTTTTGCGGTGCCAGAAGCGAATCGAGCAGTGCCAGAAACAGATGGGAAATCGGACGGCGGTTTGCAAAGACGATGGATTAGATATGGTTGCCTGTGAGGCAAAGGGCCGCAGCGGAAGCTACACCTACGTAGATAACGTTACTATCGCCATGCACCGCCACACAAGCACAAGCTTGAGGGGTGCACCACCACCCACAGCACAGCACAGAGCATCATGTGCTGTAGCTATTGCCGAGCGCCAAGCTCTGATTTTAACGTCGAAATTGCGAGTTGCAGTGGACATCTCCACTTGCATATCCCGCTGTGCAACACAGGAGAGGCTGCTCCATTGTTGTTGTTGTTGTAGCATCGGCACTCTGCAAGAGGGGGCAAACAACCGTGCAGAAGCATCAATGCCAATTGTTGTTTATCATGTGCATCATCTCCTTCCCGAGGGTCCTGTATCCGTTGGAATAAACAGCAGCATGGGTTTCGAAATAGGCTAGCTAGCAACTGACATGGCGTGAGGAGGTCAGCGCCTTCTTGGCTCTCATTTGAGTGACGCACAATTCGACGGCAAAAGGAGCCGTGAGATCGATTTGTGCGACCGAGCTCTCGCGTCGCGACGACGGTCACGATATAACACCCGTGTCCAGGAATCAGGTATACAACGGTAAGCGATTCTGGTGCAGCGCCTCGGACAATATAAGCGAGGGCAAGTCGTGCACTCGTCTTTATGTTCGAGATATAGACTGCCGACGAGCTCCAGAGCCCAGAAAGCCATCGGAAGGCGCTTTAAGGACAGATGAAACACGTCTGCAGGAACAGTGGCTTGGTGCCAATCAGGCCAATAACCGTTGCCGCCTAGTACCAAAAGCGTCTCCATGTGCGGAGCCACAAGGAGGCCAATCTGGATTTGGTGTTTATGTAGGCGGACCTCATCAATCAGTTTCTTTCCGCGACAACCATTACTGCTGTCTTTTATTGTTCCACTCGCCAGGGTTCTGTCCGTCGTGCCTTCCTCTATTCACTCACACTCTTTTCCTGTCTGGACGCTCTGCCAACGTGACGCTCGCTTCCTATACACGACCCCTTTTAACACCCAAAAGCCTGCTGCATTCCTGAACCCCCTGTTATCCCGTGGACATACAGCACAATCACCCGCTGGAAAAAACATCGATTTCGCTCTGCCCATTCGGATTTGCGACAACAAGGCGACCACGTTCACTCTTTTGTCTCCTTTTGTGTCTTTCACAAAGGCATGTTACAATAGTCATTGTTGGCCTATTGTTCGGCCTCGCATTATTCAACGACGACCACCAATCTCCTTGACATCTGCGAGTGATTAATAGCCGCTTCGATCTCCTCTCTGGCTCCGCCTCCAATCTCGTCAACTACTGCCGCATTGCAACAGATATTTGAGTTCCAAGAAAGCCACACCCTTCCATCCTCTCACCACAAAGCCGGTTCTTTGTATCTACTCTCCGGATTTGACTGCAACGACGCCGTCGATTCTTTCTTTGTCTCTCGATACAGGATTGCTTCTGCATTGCGCCGGTCGCCATGCATTCTCACTACTCACACTCACATCTGCATTCTGCCCTTGGTCACGCCGCGGACATGGTTGTAGCCCCAAGAGGGCTCACTAGTGAGCTCAACGCACTAGCTAATGCTACCGTTCAAGAACTATCACCGTACGCCCATGGACTATCGGGCGTGGACCAAACCGCGAACTACCTTTTTGCCGCCGTTCTCTGCGTGTCACTCGGCGGACTGTGTGTGTTGACATTATTATTTCGATGGGCCACCATGGGAAATGCACATATTCGACACTTACTCACCATGAGCAATCCGGATAGACAAGTTTACTGGGCTCAAAATCATACCTCGATTTGGCCAAGGATCAAGAAGCACTTGTTATACGCTCCGCTAGGTCGCAACCGCCACAACAAAGAGATTCAGCTTTCCTCGGCAATCAGTATTGGAACCCTTCCATCACGCTTTCACACTCTACTGCTGACTGTCTACCTCTTCTCCAACATTGCCTACTGTCTGGTCCTACATTGGGGAAGCGAAGACCGTGCTGCCGTCATTGCTGAACTTCGCGGTCGCAGCGGTGAGCTCGCTGCACTCAACATCATCCCTACCATGCTCTTTGCCATGCGTAATAACCCTCTGATCCCTCTGCTAAGAGTCTCATATGACACATTCAACCTCCTCCACAGATGGTGCGCCAGAGTGTGCGCCATCGAGAGCATTGTCCACACTATTTGCTACCTTGTCAACGTTGTCGACTCTGTGGGCTACGACGGACTCAAGGTCAACTTGACCATTCCAAGTTATGCATGGGGTATGGTCGGAACTTGCGCCTTTACTGCAATCATCCTTCAAGCATTCTCGCCTCTACGCCATGCCTTCTACGAAACTTTCCTAAATCTTCATCGAGTCCTGGTCATGGTGGCTCTGATTGGTATCTATTTACATCTCGAGAAGCACAACCTTCCGCAAACACCCTACATCAAGTTGGTTATCATCCTCTGGGGACTAGAGTGGCTCTCGCGCTTTGTGCGTGTCGCCTACTTCAACTTCAGTCTCAAGTCCGGAATGTCAAGAGCACACATCGAAGCACTTCCAGGCGAGGCTTGCCGTGTCACCTTCGAGCTTGCCAGGTCGTGGAACTACATCCCTGGATCGCACGTCCATGTCTACTTCCCCACGGTTGGTCTATGGTCGTCACATCCCTTCTCTGTCGCTTGGGCAGAAACAAAACCTAGGAGTGCACCGCTCGAGATTGAGATGGAGAAGTTGCCATCCTGGAACATGCCCAAGCATCAATCTGTCGTTTCGCACTACAAGACACAAATCTCCGACCGCGATGGACCTGAAGTTACGCACGTAAGTCTGATCATCCGTGCCAGATCGGGCATGACACGCCAACTATACGAAAGGGCATGTGCGTCGCCTAATGGAATTATCACGCTACCTGGTGTCATGGAAGGCCCATACGGTGGCCATGAGAAGCTGGCGTCTTACGGCACAGCTGTCTTGTTTGCCGGAGGTGTTGGCATTACGCATTGTGTGGGTTATGTGCACCGTCTTTTGACACAGTACTCACAAGGAACGTGTTCGACACGTCGTATTCTCCTCGTTTGGTCGGTGCCCACTACCGAAGCGCTCGAATGGGCACGACCATGGATGGATCAAATCCTCAAGATGGAGGGCCGCAAGGAGGTGCTTCGCGTGCAGCTCTTTGTCACCAAGCCTAGAAACCAGAACGAAGTCAACAGCCGGACAGGCACAGTGCAAATGTTCCCCGGACGCTGCAACCCGTCGACTGTTCTGGAGAAGGAGGTGGTGGAACAAGTTGGAGCAATGGGTGTTGTGGTATGCGGGCCTGGAGCATTCGCAGACAGCGTTCGAGCAGCAGTGCGCAAGAAGGTCGACGTTGGCAATATCACGTTTCATGAGGAGGCCTTCACGTACTAAAGCGATGGAGGCACGGCTTTTTGGTTTTTCTGTTCGATACCTCTTCTTCTCAGCGCGTTCATGATGAGCATTTGTGGAGTGCTTCTTATAGCGGTACATAGACGTGCAACGTAGCACAGATTCATAATTGGTAACGAGAATTATCCTGATTGTCCAAAAGATGTAATAGCAGGTGATGTGTGTGACGATGCGGTGAGTTTGGTGACTTGATGACAGATACAGGAACAGAGGCTGCATGGCTTGGTAGATGGTACGCATGGAAGCTTCTCGTGCTCCTTGAAACATCGGCAAGAAGTAAGTAGTAGGTAGGTGCTTGTAAGGCCGGTAGTTGGACGAGGCAGGCGCGAAAGCAGCTGGTTCCTGCCAAGCAAAAGGCGGCAGGGCAGGCACATGGCCATCACCCACATGGTTTCACGTCCTGGGAGCACATGGAGTACCGCATTTGCACATTCAACATCCTCAACAAGAAGCCGCCAGTCTTCCGACTGCATTGCTACACGCCCCGCATCACCTAGAGCTCCGGGAATCTGGCGACGCACACGTAGACCGAGCGATCGACTCCACCCCATGCCGCCGCCATGGCCGAGGAAGAGCTGCAGGCCAAACTGCGCGAGCTGGACCACGAGCTAGAGGAAGGCGATATCACAAAGAAAGGGTGCGAAGCCTGCCCGCGCCAGCTCGGTCGACGCTCGACAGACTGACACGCGACAGANTACGAAAAGCGCCGGACGCTTCTGCTGTCGCAGTTCTACGGCCATGGAGAGTTGGACGCCCTCTCGTCGGCCGACCACTCGCGTACTGCCTCGCTGGCAAACACCTCTGCCGGCCCGTATGCCGCCGATGACAGCTTCAGCAATGCTCCAACTGCCGTCGACCGTACCGCCTCGGCTTTCCAAGGCCGTTCCACGCCTGCTAGCATGTACGGCTCCGACTATGCCTTCAACCCGGACCCCCAGTACAATCACCTGCTCGCTCGTCAATCTCACCAGCAACCCTCGCCCGATGTCCAGAGCCGCCTGAGCACCATGTTGGACTCGCAACAAGGTTTCTTCGACGACTTTGCTGGCCAGCAGATGCAGGATCAGTCTCGCGAAGAGAGCTATGGTGGTCCACAACGCTATTCCATGGGCGAAGCCTTCTCGCCCACAGCCAATATCCCTCCGCCGTTGATGCCTTCGACCGACATGGAATCGAATGCTCCCATACATCAGCTGCCCCTTGAGCCAAGAGAGGTGCCCTTTGCCGTCTACGATCCTCACAACAAGACGGTTCCCATGTCCAACTTCGACAACATTGGTGCTGTTCTCCGTCATCGTGCTAGATTCAACGGCCGCCAGCCCGCATATTGGGTTCTCGATTCAAAGGGTAAAGAGACTGCCTCCATTACCTGGGAAAAACTAGCCAGCAGGGCTGAAAAGGTCGCCCAAGTCATTCGCGACAAGAGCAATCTGTACCGTGGAGATCGTGTTGCCCTGGTCTAC